GTGCGCACTTTCAAAATTCCAAGAACTTTACTTCCGCTTTAATTAATTTACTTCTTTTTTTCGTATTATTCTTTTCTGCATTTTAGTGCCAATTTCCTACAGCCTCTTTCATCCACGTTCTGTCTATATGCACTCACTCCAATGTCAGCTGCAGATCATTGTTCTTATCCGGCAAGAACAATTTGATCCATTTGTGGATCATGTCTGAGCAGTGTGCTGCCATGGGCATCTGTAGACTCCACCATGTGACAGTTACAGTTGGGAGACAACTGTTCCCGAAAACAGAAGTGTCTGACCGTGGGCCCCACTGGTAGACTCACCAGCTATTATTTTAAGGAAAGTTAAATCTTTAAAAATGTTTTTTTTTTTTTTTTTTTAATTCAACTATATTAACTTATTAAAACTTATAGGAAATATTTTCCGCTTGAAGGAACAGTGTCACATTCTGAAACGTGTTAAAATAATGGAAGCTGGCTAATAAAACTAGATGTATCCAAGTAACCCATTGCCATTGTTCCTTTTGTGGACTTTCTAAAGCTGGCCATACACCTTGCAATCATCGGACGAAAATTTTTGTCCGATGATCGAACCGTCATATGATTTTTCGTACGGCGGCCCCATCCTGCCCCGACCACCACACAGTTCAATTAGCGGTCTTTAGCAGAAAAACACCTGGACGAATTTTGTTAATTAACGCATGGATTTTCATTTGCGCATGAGCAGTGTTAAATCGTACAATTTTTGACGTACGGAAACGCCACCAACCTTGCCAAAATCGTACGGTTCGACAGAAGTTTTCTAACCTGCTGGAAAGTCAGAAGTCGTACGATTGTACAGTATTTGCAGTTGTACACTGCCCATCAACCTTACGAATATCGGACGAAAACGCGATCGCAAACCGGCCAATGTTCGTAAGGTGTATGGGCGCCTTAAGACTTGGCGTCTGTGACACTTCTTGTCAGAACAGGAAGGATAAAACTTCAAACAGCTTTGTTTGATAGCCAGTTCCTCAAACTTACCTTTCCTGCTGTCCTGTTTGCGCCTGGGAGCCCCACATGACTGCACTCAAGCCTGCCAAGTGGTCTCATTACAGTTGATGTCCTAAGGGCTCACTAACCTCTGTAGATGGAGGGCAGCTGGGACAATTCATCCTGAAGGTTCACAACAGAAGTCACTCTCGTAGCAGAGTGGTATAGTTAGAGCCTGAGCCTGTTAAAAGTATACATGGCACATACTGGAGACCTCGCACCTACAAAATAAACCTAAATTACTGTACCAAAAGCAAGAGTCTCACAGACACATAAACCTCAAGGCAAAGGATTCTTTTTTTTTTTTTAAATTAAACTCCCATTATTTAAACTTTTCTGCATATGACATGAGAGCCAACACTTTATCTGATCCTACGTCATTGTCTGAAGAACCTCTTTAAAACAGCTGGAAACTACTTAGAATCTAGGAACTGACACAATTAAAACTTTGGTAAGGAAAACATAAAGAGCACAGGGGACAAGACTTTGTAATGTACAACGTAGCATATTGGGTGCAGGGGCAGGAATATGTAACATACAACATAAAGAGTGCAGTGGTCAGGAATATGTAATGCAGTGGTCAGGAATATGTAATGCAGAACACACAGAGTACATAGCATGTAGAGTGCAGTGGCTAGAAGTATGTAACCAAAAACAGAGTACAGGGGTCAGGGCATGTAACAAAGCATTATACATAGACTTCAGGTTCCAAGATTATGTGATGTACAGCATATTGTAAAGAGTACATGGGTAAGGAAAAAGTAAGTGTTTACATGATGTATGTTGTGCAGTTGTCAGGAATATGTAATGTACAATATAGTGCAAAGAGTTCATTGTTCAGGAAAATGTGATATACAGCACAGCTTAGAAAATGAACCAGAAGTATGTAATGTACAGTTAATCCCTACAGAACGCAGCAGTCAGGAGTATGCAACATTCAACAGTGTACAGTGTGCATCAGCAGTCAGTGGGAGAAAGAATTGCTCCAGCTTTGATGGTCAGCGGAAGAAATGCCAGAGTGTTGGTGCCAGTGTGAAAAACATCATTGCAGTTTCCCATGCCACTGCTTCACTTTGACTGTTGTGATGACATCACTAGAGCTATGCAGTAACTGTCAGGCAGATCATTAGCATATAGAGTGCATGGGTCAGAAGTAGCTAATGAACACCGTAGTGTATAGAGTGCAGGGGTTAGGAGAATGTAACATACAACATAGAATATAGAGTGCAGGGGATAGGAGTATGTAACATACACATACAATATAGAGTGCAGGGGACAACAGTAGGCAGTAGAGGGCCTTTAAATTGCTGGTTAAGGGAAGTTAAAAAAATAAAAATGCTCCTTTGTTAGTGTTCAGCCAGAAGAAAAATTTCCCGCTCATTGGTGCCAGTGGGTTACTGACGTGAGCAGACGCTATGTGCACTATGCTCCTGCCTGTGCTAATGAGGTCACCACCATGTGCACCATATGCAGACATTGCCGGGAAGGAGATCTGTTCCAGCACTCGCTAGAGAAAAATTTAGTTGTCCCATGATCCAGGGCAGTTGGGGTGGATGGGGGTTCTAATGCTTCTTCACTATACCCAAAAAAAAAGAAAAAGGGGTTTTTGGCAGGGGTTGGGCTTCAATAGAAATCATCTGAGGACAGTTGGGTTCACTTGGAGGACGGGAGGAAAATTTCTCCTCCAGCACTGCAAACGCAGCACAAAACATGTCGACTTTCACATGCAGGATATGAAACCTAATGTCTAACCAAACCTTTCTCATGCTCGCACGATATTTTGGTTCTGCTGGGTCAGCTATGCAAAAGTGTAAAACAGCCATATTGCTGCCATAATACTTTATTGTAGATTAATACTAGATAGACCTATGAGAGGTGACATGTTTAGTTATCAAGCACGACATGAAATGTAATAAAAAGAAGAGTGAGCAGTTACCATCACTGTAATAAACATAATCACTGCAGTATATCTTTATGGAAAATAAATTAAATTTATGTCTCCGGATTCAGGGTTAGAGATAAAAACTGAGTGCATGTTAAATGGCAAAGGTAACTGGAAGGGAGGAGAGGACAAAAAAATTATCATTTGTAACAACCTTCAAGGATGAACAACATCCTGTCCCTTAGCATCTAAATACACCCATAAATACCAGCTACAGCAATTAACACGGGCAAGGACTGACAGTGATATAACTGCAGATGCAGCACCGCCAACTGCTGCAATAGCTAAGGCCACTAAAGATATCATTTGGCCAATGCCCCTCCATAGAAAGCATTGGTCTAAGGCCTGGTTCACACCCGGGCGTTTTACAGCGCGTTCCTATGCGCTGTAAAACGCTCAACATGTGAAAACCAATGATTGCCTATGGGCATGGTTCCCACCTGGGCATATTTCAGCGCGTAGGAACGCACTGAAAAACGCCCTACGCCCAAAGAAGTACAGGAGCTTCTTTGGGGCGTTTTTTCCGCGCGTTTCCATTGGAATCCCAGAGTGTGGATCGGCGTTAACAAAGCGGTAACCCCCGAACCACACTCGGGAATACAGCGTACAGGTCTTACCTTGTCCGCGATCCCCGCTGTGTCCTCCGCCGGCTCCCGACTTCCTGCGCTGTTGCGAGCGGCCGTGTCCCAGGGGGGCGGAGCCAGCGAGAAGTTTGAAAGTTAAAAAAAATTAAAATAGAGGAAATAAGGAGAAAAAATAAATCATACCGCCAGTGAAATGCGTGAACGGAAAACCGCGCAAAAAACGCGGGGGAAAAAATTAGCTGAAAAAATACGCTCAGGTGTGAACCCAGCCTTAATAAGCATGAGGTTTTGATACATTGCGACTATGGTTTCATGATGAATCCTGTAATTCTTGGTGAATTATTATTTGGATGATGGCCACAAAGCTTAGAAGAGGCAATAAGGGGGCTTTCCTATAAGCTCAGCGCATATTGAGGCTGCTGTATAGGGAAAGTACTTATCAATCCCCTATTAGGACTACTATTTGTGTCAGAAGCAAGTTTGACTTTTAGCTCTTTGGGCACTCACCCTATTGGGCTATTGACAATGAATGCATGATGTGTTACAGATATTACATTAAATCATGCATTACTGCAACTATCAGCCCCAATGCATGCACCTTCACACCTGAGCTCAGCGCCAATGCATGCACCTTCAGGTCTGAGCTCAGCCCCAATGCATGCACCCTCAGGTCTGAGCTCAGCCCCAATGCATGCACCCTCAGGTCTGAGCTCAGCCCCAGTGCATGCACCCTCAGACCAGCCCTAATGCATGCAGTCAGACCTGAGATCAGCCCCAATGCATGCAGTCAGACCTGAGATCAGCCCCAGTGCATGAACCTTCAGACCTTAGATCAGCCCCAGTGCATGAACCTTCAGACCTTAGATCAGTCCTAAAGCATGCACCTTCAGACCTTAGATCAGCCCCAATACATGCACCTTCAGATCCCCGATCGACCCCAACTACTGCGGCAGTTCCATCTAGAAAGGGTGTCAGCGAGTGGGCTTTTCCCACACACTGCCGGCCCCAGTTTCAGACAGGCCTATGCTGTCCTTGAGGTGGGCCATGGGCAGGCCAGGCTTTATAAATGACAGCCTAGAGAGCTGCTATTTACAGCTTATGACAACGCTGCATGAAGGCATTGCGTTCGTTCGGTTAAAAGGGTGCTTGCCAGGACCTGCATGCCGCAGTTGCAGATGCCTGTGTTACACTTTCAGCACAGTATGATAGTTTACATACCAGGTAAAATTTCCCCATACCTTTTAAATCAGTCCAATAAGCACAATTCCCCTTTCATGCCTGCAGAATTGCAGTATGGGGGAATGAAACGGAGAATCCGATTGGTTGTCATTAGCAACATGCTCGGTTTGTTTTGATGAATTAAGCCCATTTGCTGCTGCTGCTGCAGAAGAAATAAGAAGCGTTTATAGACCAGATCAGCCAGCGATCAATAATGACAGACGCATAATTTCCTTATAGCTTTTATTATCTGGGAAGTACTCAGAAAAAAGCGTGTGCAGAGATGCGAGACATTTCAGCACACACGATGGGTCCTAAAATCTGTTTTTGAGGTTAGGTAATAAAAATAAACAGCTCAGTACGGGGTTCCAGGCGACTCTCTAATAACTGCGTCCAAATAGCGTGTAGTACTTGGCGGGTTTCTTGCCGCACACACACTTGGTTCCAGGTTGAAGCTCTCTCAGTGGCTTAAAGGGGATGCACAGACTCTTGGCACCCATAGAAGGAGCTCCGGGTTCTAGATCCTGATCCCTGTATCAGAAAATAAAAAGGAGTTAAGAATACGTGCCAAGACTTAACGTTTAGTCCTTTACGGTACCTCTCATGCAAGACATTACACTGCATTAAAGTAGTTAACTGTACTCCAAGAGCAATGTGTAGAGTCAAGGAATTCATTAACCTAATACTAGACACAGCAGAGCACGTAGACACAGCTCCATCGAGAGGTAAGAGCCTACATCCTCTGACTCCTACATCACCAATCGCATTCACACTTCCAAGGCAGATTAGAAGCTCGTGGTTGCAAGAAGCCTCTAATGACTTTTTTTTTTAAATCAAGACTTGTATGTAAAAAGGCATTAAAGGGGTATTTTATGATAACCAGTGGATGTGTTCCAGGATCTCCAGCAAATGGGCTTCAGGATTGGCAGATTACAGACAGAATGGACTAGGGTGGACAGATGCCCAGCACACGGGGCTTCAGGGTGCCCAGCACACGGGGCTTCAGGGTGCCCAGCACACATTCAGATATAACTTCAGCATGCATTATGATCACAGAAACAACATTTCCAATCAGACGGTAATCATAGAATAATGTAAGACAAAAAAACCAGAACGGGGAATTTTACAATAATTGTGTGATGTATGCGAGCGTTGTTGGATCAGATTACCTGGCTGTGATCTTCTTTATCCAATCCTCACAGTCAATCTCCCCACAGAATGGAATCTGCACAATCTGCACAAGGAAAGGAAAACACGTCATTGGTCTCAGATGACAATTGAATAACTTGTTTACTTTGCAGCTCTATAAATACTTTTATATTTTGTATTATTAGTATAATATTTTTTACAAATAATTGTTTCTTACAGGGAATCTGATGGAATTTTCCAACGTAGTGCTACCAATAGTGTCCAGCATTGCCCTCACATTGGCTGACTGCTTCCTCAGACTGAAAAATACACATGTTCCTCTTTCTAATAGGACAGAGGGAGGGGATGATCGTCCTCCTTGGCTGTGTGTGTAATTTGGTCTCCTGCTTATGAGATCTATTCCCTACACATGTTATTTTAGGTGGCCATACATTATGCAAATGTTGGCCGACTCCAGCAACCAACCGAAATTCGGAGAATGGGTGCCGCCGTCAGCTCATCGAAGGAGCCAAGTTGCCACCTCTGTTCAGGTATTCGGACAGAATCTCATGGGGACACCTAATGTAAGGGGGCGCTATGACAGGGACAAATGATGTAAGGGGGCGCTCTGACGGGGACAAGTGATGTAAGGGGGCGCTCTGACGGGGACAAGTGATGTAAGGGGGCGCTCTGACGGGGTCAACTGATGTACGGGGACAACTGATGTAAGGGTATTAGAGAATCACCTGCACATCATACAGCGATTGAACCAAACAAAATATCCGTTGGGGCTCGAAATGATGACACGGATGGCGCGGGGTAGCAATCCAAGTAAAGATAGTAGTTACCAGTCACAATGTCGCCCTGATGAAGGGACCCTGCACGTCCCCGAAACATTGGCTTCTTGACGCATGTGACATATCAATAAAAGTGCTATCCTTTTTGCACATTACTATTTTTAACTGATGTAAGGGAGCACACTGACTGACACAACTGATGTAAGCTGTACTTTTTTCAGTGAAGCAGCCACAATGTAGTACAACCACATCACACTGTGCTTTGCCTATAGAACTTAATAAAATGTCACTTGTGACATTTCAATAAAGTTCTAACAAAAAATGTTTTTAAAGTATGATGCACAGAGATAGGCTGCTGGTGGTGTTAATGCAGCCTAAATGGCGGACCGTGGTTCTGTCTAGACCGCAATTTGAACCACGGCTCAATTAAAATTTTGGTCACCAGATATCCTCGAATTTTAATTCACTACCCCTAAAATAGAGAATTCTAATAGACCAGACAGTGGATGAGCCTTGAGAGCCCTATAGACTGCTATCGGATACAGCAGCAGCTTATGGCTCTGTAATGATCTGCCATAAAGGTTAAATGATGCCATTGCTCAGTAAAAAACTATTGCTTCCTATTGAGGTTAATACCAATGTTTATCATCCGTCTGATCAACCTTGAAAGAGTACACTCCCCTTACGTTATCAGGAACACATCTCACAGTGACATTTTATTGCATCTTATCTAGATAAACATCTGGAATTTGAAGCCATTTTAGGAAAAGGTTGTTTTGCGTATATGGCTTAAGAGTAGTTAGTGTCAAGTGGGGAAAAGAACCTTGAATACTTCATATGTAAAGAAAACTGCTCGCTTCCTCTATAAAAGCAAATAACTCTGTTTGAAAAACAAATGCAAGTTGCCTTGGTGTTCCTAAAGAGACGTTTCCATTTTAATTTTGGTGCAAAACGCACAGACATTAACATGTAAGCTTGGCAAGCATTTAGGATTTCTGTTGAGCAATTCCTGATGTCCATGATTGAAAGACTAAATTAGGCCAGGTAGCATCAAAATAACTGCTTCGCCCCTGTGCACCTATAGTAGGCTGCCAAATGTTGGCAACTGATGTGGAGGGGGGTGCAGTACATTGCAGAAACTCGATACCCGGCCTTCAAGACAGGGGAGCACTGAGAAATACAGCCATGGCTGCTTGACAACACAGGGCCACAATTGGGAGACTAGGACAGAACATTGTCATCTTACAGGAAGTGACTGAATAAGACCTTCATGGTAGTATCTCAACTAATCTTTTAATGAAAATTGGAGATTTAAAATGACTGAAAATTACTTTTTGGACATCACATTAGCATGGTAAACCCTATATACGATTAGTGATGTGTATCACTTCCGGTATTGCTGTTTACATTCTCTGTCTCTTAGAGCCAGGACAAGAAGATGGTGAAGCAGATCTCTGCTTCATCAGCTTCTTTGGGGTCCCGAGGTGATATTAGACCCCTGATGTCTCCATAAAGAGGACCTGTTGCATCATATTTTTTATTTCATAGGGGGCTTGTTAGCCCCTATGTGGTAGCAATAAAGCTCAATAAAAAAAAATGTAAAGTAACATTAAAAAAAAAATTAAAAGATGCAAAAAAAAGTTTTTAAAGTCCCTGAACCCCACATACACACATCGGATGTGCCTCCGTGCAAAAACAATTGCGCCACACGTTACATATCGCCGTGAAAGTCTGAGTGAGAGCAATAGTTAAATGGCCTTCAGTCACTGTTAAAACTAAACTGATGAGTAATAAAAGCTTTTAAAGTGCCACCTATGGAAAATTTGGGGTAGTGTAGTTTTTTGCGTTTTAACGTGCGCATGCAATTTTAAGGCTCGACATGTTTGGCATCAATTCAACCAGCGTGACCCCGTTTTCTAGCCAAAAATTCAGATCTTCTCATGTGTGTGCAAATAGTGCGAAATTGTGGTTAAATGGCAACTTGCTATGGCTTGGACATTTAAAATTACACCCCTGCAAAGCTGCCTTTCCAGCAGTCCAAGGCATTTCCCATTAGGACACAGCCCTCCCCCCGGGGTGGTCTGAGAAAACCTGGAAATCTACCAAAATAAGTCTACGGGCTTAATTCACAGTTTTAAACACCAGGATAAGGATCTTTGTTTACTTGGTGACTAACTGTCTCATCTATTAGCAAAAACCTAAAAATATCCGAAAATAAGGATCCTTATCCTGGTGACTTAACTTTATGAACTGAATTTTAGAACCGGTCAAATCTCCCTGCCCCAAAAAAACTTAATATGAAGAAACACATACTTTTCCTGTATCCAGCTGTTTCTGGAATTCCTCCATAGTATCCGTTGCCACCATGTGGCTGGTCAAATCGGCAAGTGCCCTAAATCAAAGGCAAAAAAGTAACCTGTCATGGTATATCCAAAAAAAAACATGTTTCTGGAGTTTTAAGGGAGAAAGTTAATTAAGAGCCTTCACCGAATACAGTGTCTACAAGTTAATTAACAATATACATACATGTGTACCTGCTGGTGAGAGTAGTATGTGTGGTCTGCTAAGAATGTGTACCAGTCTGCTTGAGTGCAGAGTGTCCAGACAAGAAGTGTCTCAGAAGAGGTTTCCCACAAGCCTGTTGGCAGCTTGGATTTGTTCATTAATGTGTGTGTTGTGCTTTTATGGTGGTTACCGTTGCGTCTTCAGACTAAGGGGGCCACTTTGGGGGTTCTTGTGATCATCTGCCAGTGTACTGGCCAACTTCCAAGGAAGAGCGACGGACAGTGGTAGCTTACGCATCGTCTGCCCTCCCATGGCCCTACGCCCCCTCACCAAAGGTGCAAGTATACCAATTTCTTTCTTGTCCATTGAAGAACACAGGAAATGTTAAACCACTTGCAGTCCAACCGTGCCAAAAACAGCTTAACATGCTAAACGAAAACAAGGGACTGCCTTCAGCTTAAAGAGCCGTCTGAAGGACCTTATGCCCAACGCTGCGTTAGATGAGGCAGAAACACCTGAAAAAACTTGGAGAATGTGAAGTCCAGGTGGCAGCCTTACAAACTTGGGAAACAGAAGGCGGATGCTAAAATGCAGAGAAGCCCTCACACCACTGATGGAGTTAACCTTAACTGAAATGAGGAGAACCTTATCCTTAAGACCAAAAGCCTATGCAATGGTCTGTCTAAGCCACTTACAAAATAGAGTACCGTGGAGCTGGGGCACCCTTCCAAGGCCCATCTGGAATGACAAATAATCTGGCACAGTAGATTGCCTTGCAGCACTGGGGGTCCCTGGTTTGAATACCGGACAGGACACTATCTGCAGGTAGTTTGCATGTTTTTCTTGTGGTTTCCTCCCACATTCCAAAGACATGCTGGAAGTCTAAATTGGCCCTGCATAAGTGTGCAATAAGGAACTTAGATTGTAAGCTCCTCGAGGGCAGGGACTGATGTGAATGTACAGTGTGTGAAGTGCTGCGTAAATTGTCGGCGCTATATAAATACTTGTAATAAATAAAGTCTTTCTGAAAGTAGCTAGGTGAGAGATGAAGCCAAACAGCCCAAGACACTACCTAGACAATGGAAAGAAATCCCCTTCTGGTAAAGTTGAGCTGGATAGAAAGAATGTCCTGGTTAACGAAAAAGAGAAAAACAACCTTAGGGAAGGAAGGGCTAGGCCTCAACACCACCTTGTCTCTGTCTCACACAGAGGTTTCTGTGTGAGACAGAGGACCAAATGTAGATCCCACAGATGGAGAGGATTTGCCTGGGGGGAGCTACATAGGAGAATCCCTGCACAAAGGACTACTTGTTGCACATGGAGGCCAGGAGGTCCACATCCCGCATCTGTGACACAGGTCCAGAAAAACCTCTGGGTGCAAAGACTACCTTTCTGTGATCAGACGCTGAGGACAGAAACAAATTTCCTGCAAGCTACACACTGTTCTGCCCAAGACAGAATTCAGAATTTGCTCTACCTCGTTTGCCACAGAGAGACTTCTTGTTCCTCCTTGATGATTGATGGACACCACTGTGGCATTGTCCAACAATCTGACATCCATCATCAGGATTTTTCAAAACATGGAAAACAACAACTTCCCTCATGTCATAGGCAAAGCATGATCGGTAAAATGACTAATCTTATTCATTTCATTCCGAAAATTTGAACTCGAATGTAAGTATTTAGAGCCATGAGGTCCAGAATGGAGTGAATGCCTTCTTTGGACTTGAAAGCGAGGAGGGGGCAAGCAACGAAACTCAAGTTTGTAACCTTGGAAAATCTCCTTTTGCATCCAGGCATAAGATGAAAGCTGTTCAAGCATCCGCAAAGGCCTGCAGAGGTCCCCCCACTTTGAAAAGTGGGGACACACCTGCATGCTGAGGAGGGCTTGTTACTGGATTTGGCAGACTCAGAGTGTGAGGTTTTGAAGGTGGTTGATGAAACAAGCTTTGGAGGGTCTCAAAATGGAAGTCGACAGAGTGGTAACGCATAAGCGATACATCTGGAAAGAAACAGACGGAGATGACTCGCAAGTCTGCAATTAAAGATTTTTTCATTGGGTGAGGCAAGTACTCTTGCCCCAGTAGCATCCATGATGATAACATCAAGGGTGAGGCCAAAGAAGAGTTGGTCCTGATGGCCATGCAGAGCAAACCGTTTTCCTAGGAGAGTTCCGCAGTCCAGCACTTTAGCAACAGAGCCCTGTGCATAGCCACTAAAAACAGACTAAAGCAAGACAAAAAGACAGGATGATTCTAACAACCCATCACAGCTAAAGTTCAGAGCCAAAGACATCTGAACCATATGCTTAATGACCCGCTGGTCAATGTCAGACGCATTAAGATGCCGTTTAGTGAATTTAGACCAGTCAGCCATGGTCTGACACAAAAAAATTACAGCCAGGATGTAAAGCAGAACCAGATCTAAAACAAACCCGGCTAAAGAGAACACGGCCCTAGAAAGAGCTTCCAGCAACTTCTATGTAGGGTAATTAAAGGAAGGGGCATCACCCATCAGTATCGAAATAGCCTTGTTAAGGTGAGAAATGGCCAGATCCACAGTAGGGGTGAATCCAGGAAGACAAACTCCTCTCTAAGCAAATACAGAGATCACAAGCGTTTGGGAGGAGCAAAAACCACATCCGGGCGCTTCCAACCTTTACACAGAAAGTGGGTGCAAAGGGAAGGTTTTAGGGGCCCTGTAGGACCCAAAGTATGATACAGCACTGATAAAAGCAGCAAGCTGATACTTAAGCTTTAGAGTGATGCGTACCCCATCAACAAGTGAGGCCAAAATTCAACTTAGGAGAAATAGCAGAAGGCTGAGACTCCTCAGAGGAAAAGCTCATCAGTCAGGGACTTGAGCAATTAATTATCGGAGAGAGTCTAAAGCTGGCCGTACACCTATAGATTATCTGCAGATTTTCTATGGTCAGATGGAAAAAGTGCAACATATTCCTCCATCTACACTAAACTGTGTGGATGGGGGAATCTCCCGCTGGGCCAGGCTTCAGTATCTTGCTAGTCGGCCCTACTGGCTCTCAGAACACCTGAACAACGCCTGCATCCAATCAGATTGTTCAGGTATTCCGAGAGCCAGCGGGGCCGGCTAGCAAGATACTGAAGCTTGGCCAAGCGGGAGATTACTCCATCCACACAGTTTGGCGTAGATGGAGGAATCTGTTGCACTTTTTCCATCTCACCCTAGAAAATCTGCAGAAAATCTATAGGTATACGGCCAGCTTAAAGCCAAAGGTTTGGACAAAGGCTGCGGTCAGAAAGACACTGAGTTTGCATGATAGCAGAAAATGTCCTCCTGCTGGATCAGCAATGCCGTACGAGGCAAAAAAAAAGGACACTGATAAGTGGATAGATTGTAATATCAGAGGGCAACAAGATCCCAGGCAATGGATGTTGCCACTATTAAGAATTGCTCAGAGTGGTCCATGTGTTCGCGTCAACCTGGGAGTTTTGGGAGTTTCCGCCCACCTTCATGTATTCCAGCTATATACAGCTCCACCTGTCTCAGCTGTCACTAACTGCAGCTGCTGTCACAGAACCCCTGCGCCCTATGGTCTGGTGCGCCTTATGGAGCGCAAAATACGATAATCTGTCAGGGAAGCTGGGAGCCCCTTATATTGAGCACAACAAATGTGCAGACCTGGGAACTCAAAGCAGAGATCTCACCAACAGAGTCCAAGAGAGACAGAGTAAACTGTGAAGGGGTTTTAACTCTACAGCATCTACCAAAAGCTGCATTTAGCGCTGCATTGCAGGCAGTTGATTACATGGGCTGCATTCTTTTTTAATGCAATGCAAACAACAAATGGCATGTGCACTGTGGTGGTTTGAATGGAAAGTGTGTTCCCTGCTATTGTATTAGTGTGTTTGAAAGTCAATAAAAATGAAAGAACTCCAGCCAAAAATAAGAAAAATGTAATTGCCCAGATAAAATAACAAAACAGACTGATGGCCAGCATAATTCAACCCACTACTACTGAGCCTAGTTCATCTTGGACCCGCCCTCGCATGTGGCTGGACAGTGGAAGGAGAAACGGCAAAATGATAAGCTCCTCTCTTCCTAACTGCACTGAAACACATTAAAGTGCAGTAATATGAGTGTTTAACCAGACGGTACCATAATGCAACAGTACAGATGGGCCCTTAAGAAAATCTTTGAACATGTTGAAAAACAGATCCACCTATTCAGAGATCTGGTAATCAGGAACTTCTGACCTTGTGGTACCATCTGAGGCCTTGTTCACACCAAGGGCGTAGCAGGTGCAGAGCAGATCAGGTGCAGACCGGATCAAAACTGCGTCCAATGTATTCCAATGGTATTTTTTGCTCCAGTTCACATCGCAGGTGAAAAAACTGCAGCAGGCCCTATTTTACCTGCTCTGGAATGCATGCAAACGCATCAAAAACGCATGGAACGCTTTAAGCCCACGTAAAAAAAAAAAAAAAAAATTATTTTTTTTTTAACCAAAAATGCGGCAAAACCCACTGCACTGCGTGTGCAGAAACCTGAGCGGATCTGCTCTGCATTTGGTGTGAACAAGGCCTTAGGTATGAGCATGGAATGTACAGATAGATTACCTGCTGTAGAGGTTGGTGTGAATCTCTTCCAGAATATCCTTTAATTTAGTTTCTGCCTGGTCCTCTGCGATGGTCAGTTTCTCTCCTGTGTCTCGTCGGACTGCTACAAACTGGTTCATTTTCATATCTCTAGGGCCCACTTCCAGTCTGATAGGGACACCCTTAAAATGAACAAATCAAAAATGTAACAACTTCGATCTCATTAAAGCCTAAATACACACAAAAAACAAACGTATTTTGTTTTGGCTAGAGTGGGTAAGGGTTAGAACCTCTATCAAGTTATTGCAGTCTATGTCCCTGTTGGGGAGTTTTACCTTCTCTACCTGTTAGGGCAAGAAATGATGAAAAGTATCTCCAATGGGGACAAAGACAAACCAATAACACAGTGGGGAGAATTTATCAAAACTGGAGGAGACAAAATCTGGAGCAGCTGTGCATGGCAACCAATCAGCTTCTATCTTCAGTTTGTTCATTTAGGATTTGCAAATGAGAGAGAGAAGCTAATTGGTTGCCATGGACAGCTGCTCCAGATTTTGTCTGCTCCAGTTTTGATCAATTCCCTTCCATGTTTTTTTTTTTTTCCAATAGAAAAAGGAAGGATGGGAACCTCTGACAATGTTTATTGCTGTCTGTGCCTTTTTGCCCCAGGGACAGTGACATCCCATTTTGTGGAAAAGACAGACATTTCTAACTGTTCCCCGCTATATCCAAAATAAAAAATAAAAATAATGTCTGGGGTTAGACTTTAAAAGCAAGACCTTGTTCAAGGTATTTGATTGCCAAAGTTTCTGACACATCAAGCTGCAAAGTTAGAATAAAATGGCACTTGTATTATTACCACATGTAAACACAATGCTTGATTCGTTATAGTGACTTTGCCGTTTTCCCCAAGAAATAAAAAGATCTACCTGCAACAGAACACTGAATATTTACCTCTACGGTGGGCAGCAAGTCCCAAACGCCTCTACCTTACAGCACTGCAGCAAAGTCTTCAACATTTGACACTTCAAGGAGTGCTGAATGCCTGTGTCCCCCTGTTGTGGGCTGTGGTTCTGCCTGCCAGCCCCAAGCCACTAAATAGTGGCGGGAAACTAGAGCTACTTTAAAAAGAAAAGGGTTTCATATGTCCCCATCTCCTGCAATAGTACCCTCACAATTTTAAGAAACTCAAAATCACAATAATGTTACACTGGGTGAAAAAGCCAAAATCTGACATGAGATCACTTTCACTTTGCACCTTGCTATGAGTATGTTTCTTACAGAACGGAAGAGGAGAAAAAAGAAAAGTGAGTATATGGCTTGGGGGAATAAAGTGAACTTTTTGTGCCCTGCGAGGACAAAGAACAGGTCCACTTTATGCACAACACTACATATGGTATTGGACATAACCAATTACCTCCCCAGAATGTCTTGCAGCCTTTATAATATTTTCTAGCCCAGATCCCTCTCAATTCCGAGCCAGAGGTTGGAGAGTGAGGAACTGTGACCCTGTGCTCTGGGAAGGGTCAGCATATAACAGAGAAGTTACTTTCACCTTATGATGTGTGTCCTTCTATGCAAACGTTGGGTAATATTCTTTTCCTTTTTTGCCACCAAATGTTGACTTTTAAATATATGAGATATCCATGAAAAACATATTGTTTTCCGCCCTGAATCCAACGCAGACATTATGTTTAAAAAATAAGATTGTTGAGATACTTTATCTGCAAATGAATGCCAATGTTTAACTAGTCTGAACTTAGCATATTAATCAGTCACACATAAAGTACAAGACGTTGCTGCATTTATGTTATGTTTTATAATAATATACCATTTTTACAGTACATTATAGCTGGATGAGGATAAGACCATAAAGAATAATAAAAGTTCTATGTCATGACCCTTTGTAGACGTTCACAATTTTTTTTGCTGCGCTTGTCCTTAACCAACAAAAGGTGATAGAAGGTTGGCAGGAATATGCCGTAAGCTCCTCACCTTAAGCTCCCAGTGGTTGAACTTCCACCCAGGGGAGTAGTTGTCACGCAAATCCGTCCTCGCTCTGATTTCGACGTTCAGAATGCGTTTTAAATACTGGTTGCATTTCTGCAGAAGTGCTTCTTTGTCTGCTTCAGCTAATGTGTTTGTGATCCCGCATGGAATTATGATAACCTGGGAGGGAAAAGAAAAAATAAACCAAATGTGTGAAGGGCAAACCAAAAATGTATTAATCACAAAACATGCACTGTGATTAAAAACAAAGTTTTGTGGTCAGTCGTCTTGCGCGGAGTTCTTCAATTCTGCTGCAAGTAGAACATTACCACTATGGAGTGTGTGCGCATTACCTCCAGGTTCTCAGATTTCTTTCACAAACCAAAAACACACCAATAAATGCCTTCAACCTGAGACCGACTATGGTAGGGTTATTAAAAACCAACTTCGCCTGCACCCCACATGAATTTTTTTAATATTTTTTTTTTTACAAACATTAGTACCACTCTTTGGATTAGTGTACCGTGATTGAAAGGCACCGTAGTGAAGCCCTGGACATCAACTCCATGACCTTATTCACTCACATGAAGAGAGTCAAATGCTGCTGGGCATCATTCAGCCCAAAGAAGGAACAGCTCCCAAATGTAGGTAAGTATTGCACAGAGAGCTTTTTTTTCAGCTGCATCCAGAGACAATCATGCAGATGCAACCACCAGCAGCCTGTCCTGGACAAGTATTTTTTTTATTAGTTATTTATATAGCGCTGTCAATTCATGCACATCAATCCCTGACCTCAAGGAGCTTACAATCTAAGGTACAAGTGAAAAAATAAGCATTTAAAAAGGAGAACTATGGGGTTAAGGCTTTTCCCCATAGTTCTCCTTAGGGTAACGGGAGGACACAAACTAGCGTCCTCCCGTCACCCTAGGCTCAGTATACCGCGAGCTATAGCTCGCGGTATACTGAGACGCTGAAGCGGATCCCAACAATTTTGTTTGGAACCGCCCAGCTGCGTGACTGACAGCTGTCTCTGCCTATCTAGAGGCAGAGCCAGCTGTACCCGCCCCCTCCCCCATCCGTTCCGCCAGTCAGCGCTGGCGGATCGGAGCGGGGAATCCAGCCCCTCCCGTCACAGAAGTCTCATTGTCACAGGTCAGCTAGAACTATGAGGTGAGTGAAAAGTACTCACCTCATAGTTCTCCTTTAAAGGGAGTTATATACAGTATTGCACAAAAACTAGGTCTAGTGGGTTACGAGTCTATGGGAGAAAGACAAATAGTTTGTTCATGGTTTGCCTGCCAGGGTTTCCATACTTCCTCAGATTTCATGAGGCATCCCCCAAGGGAGTAGATCATTTCTTTTATAAGTTCATTAGGTAGTCCAAGAGGATAAGGTTGGCCTGCCCCATGTCATCCAATAGGTAGTAACTGTTTTCCTGTGTCATCTTTTAATTGGGTATGGGTAATATGAGACATTTAAGTGCACCTCAAAAAGTGAGGGTTTGCCATGTTATAGGAAACATCTAAAAATATTACTTTTGCTTAAGTATTACTCTAAAAACGCTTCTTTTTTCTTCAATTCCTCCTGAAAAATATCAGTATACTTCATTGTATGTGAGCCTAAGCCTACAAGTTGCATGGCTGTATATCTGCAGTGTGAGACTAAGGTACTCCTGCCTCTGACTGATAGTCTCACCATTTTTTGAGTGAATTGCTTGAGGTCACTACTGTCTTGCTCACTGAAGAGAAATTCTGCATTGCATTCATCTCCCTGCTTCTCTTTCTGGTGTTTCTGCGGATCTGTGCTCCCTCCACCTCTGCTGCTGATTTTTAACATTTTCCTTTACCAGTCACCAGATGGGTAGTGCTGATATGAGGAAGCAAAGCCATGCTCCTCTACAAAGATGGACGCCTCCACACAGAGACACAGTGCAGAACGTGGCATGGTAAATGAGTAATGGGGGAAATACAAGTCAGCTGCAGGGAGACCACAGGCAATACTGGTGACTGGTTTTTGGCCCTCTGCCTACTTTTTGTGGGCACAGTTTCCAGTATGTAGGTCATCTTTAAACTGATATGATTGGTTTAATATTCACTGTAACATGCCAAATATGTGACTAATTTAGACAAACAGTATTTGCAGTAAATAGTGAAATGTTTGTATATTGAGTTTGTTCTTTTACTGACTTATCTAACTCAGATCAAAGGCTCAGCACTCCTCCTCTATGGCAGCCAGGGCCAAGCAGTAGCCAGGGGCACCTTACTATTAATTATGAGATGTTCCTTGTAGCCAGCAACATGCCATACACTTCTGTCTCCTCTTCCCACATTGCAGCATTGAGTTCAGAGACTATCCCACCGAAAGACACACGCAGGACTGATCAGTGGTCTGGTATTCCTTTGAATACCAAGTGCATAAGTTGTCTCCTTCCTCTGAAATATTTGGGGCTGCTGCTTTTAGGTACCCACATTGCTTGGTAGCATGGCTGTTTTACCTGCACTACCTGGACAGGCTTACTAACTAGAGAAGCGTTTATCCCTAAATCTGAACTCCAGACAAATATGGTATAAAATATATTGCAGCTCTATATTTATTAACACGTCAATAAATGCATTTTTTGGATGCAAGTAGTGTAAGTACCTGAATTTGACTTTGTACTAGGTCTCTTGAAATCCACTGTACAGCAAAGCTTGGAGTGGGAAAGGGAAAAGCAGCACTAAGAGCCAACCAGGTATGCTGCAGTGCTCTTGTGCTAACAAGGGACACGATGATAGAAGGAAAGAGCTGAGTGACACGAGATGAACTTATCAGTCTGCTGCTTCTCATTTCACTGTCCAGTCTCAGGCTGGAAATAGGACAATACCTTTAAGTGTTATTTAACGGGGGCAGAGCTGTGTAAATCTCTGGAATACATGGGCAGAAATACAAATCCTTTGGCAGGTAAAACAGTTCCATTATGTGTATTTAGCCGTTTGCCTGGAGTTCAACTCTAACCCTTTTACTGCCAGGGGCTGACTTCCATTTTCCACTGCTGATCAAACCAACTTTTCTTTAAACCTGTTTATTACATACATCAATTGTTCTGAAAGACTTCGTCTCCATGAATCTCTAAAAAGCACATGACCTATGGAAATAAGCAGTCAATAAACTAGGTCCTATATTCAGGGTGACCCCATGAACCAGTAATAGAAAAGACAAAGGCCTTTTCTAACGAACAACTTACCTGCACGCAGGCTACTCGTGGTGGCAGCACAAGGCCCATGTTGTCTCCGTGGACCATGGTCATGACTCCTATTGTTCGGGTGGTAAGACCCCATGAGTTCTGGAAGGCATATTGCTTTTCGCCCGGGGTTTTTGGATCTTCAAAAACAATCTCAAACATTTTGGAGAAATTCTGTCCAAGGTGATGTGATGTTGCTCCCTGAAATGAGGAGTCAAAGCAGCGTTAGTTTTAGTAATAACAAATCACACAGCCGCTTGTTCCGACATTAAATCCCGCAGCAGCGGTGTCAGCAATGGACAGGATAGCCTTAGATGAACATGTAGATTTAAAAGAGAACTGTGGGGAAAGTGTTTTTCCCCATAGTTCTCTTAAGGGTCACGGGAGGACATATACTAGTGTCCTCCCGTGACCCAAAGCTTAGTCTATCGCAAGCTACAGCTCGCTGTATACTGAGACTGCCGCACCCGGGACGGATCCCGACAATGTCGAGATCCACCCAGCTGCGTGAGTGACAGCTGGCTCTGCCTATCTAGAGGCAGAGCCAGTCAGTGCTGGAGGATCGGAGAGGGGAGGGGGTAATCCTTGCGGGGAGCCGTGACGACAGTCACCACTCTCTGCAGGGAGATGATCGAGAAGTGAGCGAGCGACTATGTGTTCGCTCACTTCCCGATCTATTGAGCCGACCTGAGAGACAGTTTCATTGTCACACGTCGGCTCGAACTATGAGGTTGAGTGGAAATCACTCACCTCATTAGTTCTCCTTTAAGCAAGCCACAAAAGAAATGAAAGCCTAACTACAGATAACACTTAAAAGTGCATTTAAACCTAGAAAAAAAGGTGATACCATATGAATAAAAGCTGAACGTTGTAAACACCACTGGCAGTGTAATATGGCTTGTCCTAAACCCTGTAACTGTCACTTTTTATGGACAGCTTACCCTGCAGGTAAATGTGGAGAAACCTATAAAAGGAACATGAAATAAAAAGAATTCATATCCTGGAAACCATTATTACATGCGTTAAACCCTAACACTTTGCAGAAAACAATGATTTCCAAAAAAGTGGTCCTTTAACTCCTCACCATTCTATCCTAAACTATAGGAGTTGCTGCAACTGGAGTTAGACTTGAAAGTGCATTTTCATCTTTGTAAATTAGCATTTATTGTGGTAATAAAAAGATGAAGTGAGTTTCATGATTCACATTTCAGGCTTTCTTCATTTTTTTTATGAAGTTTAGCCTGAAGCCTAAAAAGTAAAAATTTTGTCCAGAGGAAATTCAGTCTGACTATAACAGCTGCAAACCACAGAGAAGACCATTTCCATGAGCATATGAAAATCTAAGTTTCTGTGTTCATGTACAGCAACTGTACAGATTGGTCCAATCACCTATATGTACTGACCTGTATGGCTCTGCCGCTGGCTGATATGAACGCCTCCACAGTGGTTGTATAGTCTCCTCCTGCAAACTTTTCCTTCTCTGTCTTTCTTCCTTTGACTACAGGAATAGCCAAGAGGTCCTCATAAACCCGGGTGTAGAGATCCAGGATCTGCAGGACCTGCAACCGAGATCAACAAATTAAAAATAAAAATCCATGCAGTTATGTGTTCATTATCATTAAATGTATTTACTAGGAATGCACCAATATATCAGCCGCCGAAACATATCAGCCCAAAATTGCACTTTTGGCACAATGCTGAAAGTGCCATTTTCCTGCCGATACATCGGTGCACCCTATTCTCTCCTCCCCAATGGGCGCTGCTCTGTGTCCCAGCATGGAGGAGAGTAACTGTCACAGGCAACCTGCAGGAGGAGAGTGCTGTGAGCGGCTGGCGTCTCTCCTCCCACACCGCTCAGCATCATATCATATATCAGAGGAGAGCGGTGTGGGGGCGAAGACAGCCTGCTGTACTGTCACAGGAGGCTGAGCTCTCCTCCCGCTATGCTCACTCAGCCTCCTGTGACAGTGTGCGTCAGGATGGAGAGCGGGTACAAGCAGTCAGTGATCAGTGATCGCTGAGTGTTTGTACATAATTCAGGACAGGGTATGGTTACTATATCCTCAATTATGAATGAATGGGAAGTGATCTACATCCCCTCCTGTCCATTCATGATTGTGGTTATAGTAACCATACTATGCCCTCATGTTATGAACGAACAGGAACAATCAGTATTGAGGATTCCTGTTCATTTATAACAGGGGCTGCAGAAAAAGAGTCCCCAATCTCTTTCTATTTTAAAAGGGAAATATCAGGGGTGTTTAGAAATGATCAGGGGTGTTTAGACCCCCAATATTTCTCAGAACCCCCTAAAAGTAAAAAATTTAAATATTTAATAAAAAAATAAAATAAAAAAAATCATAAAGAAATAAAAATGTAAAAAGTTAAAATACAAAAACATTTTCGGTTTCGCCCTGACATTTTTTAATATTTCGGTTTATTTTCGGTTTAGAAATTTAAATTTCGGCGACCTTCTAGTATTTACTCAAATAAAACTAATGAGTACTTAAATATGACTTGGTATCAGCATCTGGTAACCGCTCTTATACAGAAGCACTGGGGGAGGGAAGCCAATCCGGTGCGATGCATGGAAATGCATGACAAGGAGCATGCTGATGGGTAGAGAGAGAGCAGAGAGATAATCTAAGCACTCTACTGCTGCTCTTTCGCTTTCCAATTAGCAGCCTGCGGATGAGAGATGACACTACTGTGTTCCTTAACTGCTGTAAGTCCGGTGCCATCAACCTGGCTGTGCTTTGTGGCAGAGATGTGTTAATTGCAGTTCTAGATGAAAACACACAAATCCTCTGGCAGATAACACAGCGCCCTTGTATGTATTTCACCTGTGTAATTAGACATGTGCCTGGAGTTCAGCTTTAACCACTTGCTGACCAGGTGTTTACACCCCTTCCTGGCCAGGCCATTTTTCAGTGTTCAGCGCTGCGGTACTTTGACTGACATTTATTCCGTCATGCAACGCTGTACTGAAATTAATTTTATACCATTTTTTGGTGACAAATAGAGCTTTCTTTTGGTGGTATTTATTCACCAAATATAATGAAAACAGTACAGAAAATTTGGGGGAAAAAACGGTTTTCCCTACGTTATGTTATAAAACAGTTATTATTACCCAAATATTTGGCAAAATATAAAAGTCGGGGTCACGTCGGGTAAATAGACACCAAACATGTTAAGCTTTAAAATTGCGTGCGTCCGCGAACTAGCAAAAACTACCATACCCAAAATTGACCATAGGCGACGCTTTAAAAGCTTTTACCGCTCATCAGTTTAGTGTTATCAGTGATTGATGGCCCTAAAATTATTGCTCTCACTGCGACATTCGCGGCGATACGTAACATGTGCGGCGTAATGAATGTAATCGTCGTACGCACTTAGGCGCACTCGACGCATGTTTGCATGTTTATGTGGGGGGCGGGGGACTTAAAAAAATTTTTTTTTTTATTACCTTTATATGCAACTTTTAATTTTTTTAATATTTTTTTTGTAACTAATTCTTTTAAACATTTTTTTTCAGTTAACTTTATTGCTATCAAATAGGGCACTAACAAGCCCCCTTTGTGATAGCCAATTTTCAGTGACAGGTCCTCTTTAGGACCCCTGTCACCTAGGGACCCCCAGAGACGCTGATGAAGCAGAGACCAGCTTCATCAGCTTCTCTCCGGTTTCTGTACCGGAGAGTGACACTGAATGCAGGAAGTGATGTAATACACATCACTGACTGCATTCCAAAGGAGGAGGAGGAGATCAAACGGAGTTCGTGTACTGAGCTCCGTTTGATCTCCGGCCGCAGAGCTGCTGTGCTGGTCCCGGGCTCGCACCGGGCACAGCGGAGCCGGGCCACACACCCGCACGCTTATTACAAGCGATCAGGCGTCTCTACAGACGCCCGAACGCTTGTATGTAAACAGCCATAGCTGGCTGTTAACAGTGCAGGCTGCGGCAGGCACGAGCGTGACGGGATGATTCAAAACGCCATACCCTCAAGAAGCCGCTGTCCGGCCGTTTAATTACAACGGCCGGACAGCAGGTGGTTAAAGTTCACTCCATGCAAAACACAAAATTCAGTAATAACCAAGCCTGGTGTATAGCGGATTACTGGTCATTGAGTTTTAGGTATGGACAGCAGAAAAGCTAACAATCCCTCTTTACTACAGTTCTGGAAGCCCACTTTATCCCTTCAGGTTTTCTGATCTAGGAACCTATTCTGCTCAATTGTAATGCAGGAGAGAGATCCTCAAACAATGTGGGTGCCTCTTGACGGATGTACAGGAAAAAAATGGAAGGTTTAGACCAAATGTTGAGATGGTGAGTTTATTTAATCATAAATTGAAAGAAAGGACAAGCCAACACGTTTCAGTGATTCTAACAGCTCCCGCCTTCATCAGGGCTAAAACGAACATTCATGGCTTACTAAATAGCAGCACATAATCCTTTTTACAATGTAACTCACCAAAGAGAAGTCTGGTTCAGTGACTGAAATGACCCGCTTCCTCTATCTCCGCTCGAGCATAACAAGTTTATTAAAGCAGCAATAAGAAGCCCAGCCTGCTCCCTTAGCACAACAAACAGTGAGGTTATAAATGACTAAGTGGATTTATTAATGGAGTTTTCGGCAAATCGGAGCTGTACAGGATGTCAGCTTGGCTTGGTTCACTAAAGTCTTCGATTACAAGCAAGCAAAGAAATAGGACAGCTGACCAAACTTCAAGCGCAAAAAGAGAAGAGGATATTTATGTCCAGACCAGAAGAAAAAAAAATAACGTTTGAGAGAGAATAAAAAATAAAATTTCTTGTCTACTAGAGTTCAGGCACAACTCCGCTTATATGACCCTACGGGAATACGTTCTACCGAGGTGAACTGAGGACACCAGACAGCTGGAAATCAAACTAAGGGCAGGTAAGGGGCTGGTACGGTGTGTTGAGGATGCCATCTAGAGGCTGCTTACAGGAAAGCAACTATGTTCTTCCAGCTTCATGCAGCTTAAAGAGACCCTGTCACCAACTTGAAAAAAATGCAGACAAAAGCACACAACATCTTTTAGAATTTATAAGGCTTAGTTGGAGTGGTTTTTGCTTTTTATAATTGATTTTTATTGACTTACAATGTGCCTTTGCTAGAAAATGACTACTTCAGAAAAGTCCATTCCGTAGCTGTGGTGAAAATACAAATACCATCATGCATCTGCCTCTGGGAGTCATTCAATGTCTTGTAATGCCTCGTGGGATTTTTAACTGCACCACAGCTGGAGGGCCAGAGTTTGCCTATCCATGGTATACAGTATTCCCGAGTAGGTGACCTATCCCAAAGACATCACTGACCGCTCAATTCAGATGCCATGTGTTAACTAACTAAAGTCTAACAGGGTTATTCACAAAAGGGTGAAGAGTTTGGAGAAAGAGGAGAAGTGAACAATCTAGGCCAAAATAGTCGATTTGGAAAAATTCTCCTATTCAGCTCACTTTCCAGTTCAGCTATGTTGTCCTAGATTGTTCACTTCTCCTTCCTTCTTCTTGTGAATAGCCTTGTCACTTTTTTTGTTTACTTTTGATACAATGGGCAAAGGTTAGAACAACTTCCCTGTCAGATGTTACTGATATCCGGGCTCCATTGAGAGATTTCTCCTCACTTTTAGTTCTGTCTTACCAGACAAAGTGAGGGAAAATCTGCAACGGAGAAGCCAACAATAAAAAGCCGACAGCCTTCCCCTACTTTACTGAACAAAGCATACTTACTTCTGTCTGTATTGCTTTTGGAGAGGGCACAATCACACTATAGAGAGTCGTTATGGTGCCTTAAAACGGAACTATGACCAAACCTTTTTTGGCCATAGTTCTCTCAAGGGTCAATAGATCGCTATATGCTGACAGCGCAGAGCCAAAGCTGGGAAAGATCCTGACAATATTGTCGGGATCCACCCCTCTGCCTGATTGACAGCTCTATAGGCACAGCCATCTGTGCCCGCCCCCTCTCCATCTGCCCCTCCATTAAGTGCTGGAGGAACAGAGAAGGGAGAGAGGAATCCCTGTGGAAATCTGTAAATGACAGTCACTGCTCTCTGCAGGAAGAAGATTGTTAACTGAGGGATCAGCGGTATGTGATCGCTCAGTTCTCGATCAGTAGAGCCGGCGTGCGACAGCTGCAGGGCTGGTTCACACCATCCTCAGCGCGTTTTCGGCCCAATTGTGGCCAGTTCCGGTCCGGAAAAAAAAAAGTGCTTGGAGCATTTTTTCTGACCGGACCACAGGCATTGATGTGCAACGCATCCCCTGTGCGGCCGGAGGGCGAGGCTGCAGCGCCATCGAGTACAATGCACCGCCACGTTTCCTCCTCCCTCGCAACAAAGTGAGCCAGCCGGAATGTGATCCAATGTGTTCCAGCCAAATGAGGCTGGTGTGAACTAGCCCTCAATGTCACATGTCGGCACCAACTATGGGAATGAGTGCATTTCACTCTTCCCATGATTCTCCTTTAACATACATTACGGCATGCGTTAATGTGTGCTGCATTAAGACAGCCCATTCATCATCGATGGGCTGCCAATGCACCACAATGGATGGAAGAAATGTGCACAACCCTTTTTTCAGAAGCAGGGACCCACAACGTGCAGTATCTGTGCGGCAGTGTGTTGTGTTCTACGGTACAATGCACAATGAATGGCACCACAGACACCACATGTAGAGCAAATTAGCGCATGCATCACAGCCCAAATTACCACAAAGCTCAAATATGAACTGGCCCTAATGTTGATAGAAATATGTAGTTATCGTTTGCTAGCAGAATTATTATAAAGTCAACCTGACCTGGTTTAAGACATTGCTAAAATACCTAACAAGTACCTCTGTTAGTCTTCAAATAGGTTTCCACCGCACCAAAATTCCCCCCTCCTGCCCTCGAAGTCCCCCATTGGATTTCAGACCCCTGCAGTGTAGGGAGATTTGATTTCATTCCAAGTCAACAATCCAGACCCCTTCGCTTACCTCCTCTGCAGCTTCCTCATATTCAGCAAAGGCAGTGTGTCCCTCCTGCCACAGGAACTCACGGGTGCGCAGGAATGGCTGGGGGTGCTTAAACTCCCATCTCTGTACAAGACAAGAGAGTTTTGTTTAGTATGTGACCTACAGATCTCACAGAGCTACCCAAACTAATTACAGATAATCTGACAAAAAACAATCTACTTTAAACTGAGGATGCTCTGAGCTGCGCTTACCACAACATTGCACCACTGGTTCAGTTTGATGGGGAGGTCTCGGTGAGACTGAATCCATTTTGCATATGCGGGATACATAACTGCAAAAGAAAAACACAAAAGTGAGTTTATATCTTGAATGGCGGTTTATAGAATGCGTTGTGTTAATTGTGTGTGTGTGTGTGTGCTGCCCCCATGCCACTTTGTGCCATGTTGTGGTAGCCAGGCAGCAGCACTCCCTAACACGCACAGGATAAGTTTGCTTGCCCAAGAAGTTTGAGAAAATTGAATTACCCACTCAAATCTGGCCCCCTATCTCCCCCCCCCCACTATACTTACCCATCTGCCAATAGTCCTTCCACTCCGCCGGTATGGGTGTACTATCTGTACCCCAGACTGGACACAGCCCTGCACTATGGACATTATATACTTGAATTTCGCTTGCACTCATTGGTCAGCTCGGTCACCTGACTGCACTGACCAATGAGAAGTGTTTCTTAGCACTGCTAAATACGGTTTTGGTTAAAATAGTTTTTTGTATCAGGACAAGTAGGTTCGGTCCACTCTTTAGTCCTTGGACAAGTAGATTTTTTAAAAAAATATCCACACCCCTGTTCCTCTACCACTAGACTTAACAAGCATTTAACCCTTGCAGAGCAGGAAGGCCCCGTTGCAAGTGTATTTTTTTTAAACCCTGGAGATCAGTATTAATGTCAGGAGTCAAAGAAATGACAAATATAAAAGAAGTTTGCCTATTTTCCTTGCAATGGCAGCTGGTGCCTACAAACAACTGAAATGGAATCAAAACATAAGAGTCATCTTCTCTATCTCTAGGCTGACATTCTCACCTTTCCCCCTTTGACATCTGGTGCTGTCATGGTGCCTAATCTTCTAGTTTCTGGTTGGAACACAAGATGACTGAGGATTGTGAAGACATGTCACTAGAGTGGAGCAAAATCACAACCCTCGGCCCAGTGTTGGGGAAAAACTCTGCCACGGATGATCCCGGTGGCTGGTGTTACAACACACAGCCCCTTTGATAAACTTCATACACAATATGAAGTTGCTGTATAAAGTGGGCGGCACAGTGGCTTAGTGGTTAGCATTTCTTGCAGCACTGGGGGCCCCGGTTCAAATCCCTGTGCTTGCGGAGGTTTCCTCTGGGTACTCTGGTTTCCTCCCACACTGCAAAGACATGCTGGAAGGTTAATTGGCTCCTCTCTAAATTGGCCCTCTATGTATGTGTGCATGTGAGCTGGGGGCCTTAGATTGGAAGCTCCTTGAGGACAGGGACTGATGTGAATGTGGAGTATGTAAAGTGCTGCATACATTTTCGGCGCTATATAAATACCTGTAATAAGTAATAATATTAAAATGTATTATTCCGTTACAAATGTATCTATGACCTCTCTTCCAGTTATCTTCCATTCCAGGAATTCATTCAGCCCTATCCAATAATCACTTACCAGTTTCACTTGTGGGTCGAACAGCGATTGGCTCAGCCAGTTCAGTCTTCCCCGACCTGGTAACCCAAGCCACCTGCGGAAAAATGAAAGCCAGATATAGTCAGTAGTAGAAAAACCTAAATCAACAGAACAGCTGCCAGTTACCCAAAAGTTAGTGAAAGTCCCAGTGCAGACAGACCGTTACATCTACAGAAAAAATACATATAAGGGAGCGGTTGTAGCTGTCAAAAGAAATGTGTTCCTTCATCCAATCCTGACAATTACACAGCTCTGCCACACAGTTTATCCCTGTATGGCAGGGCTGGAGACCAGATTGTTCTCTACTTCTGTTTAGTAATGCTCACAGGTCTTATGCCTGCCCCAGCCTGTGACTGGAGAGTAAATAAAGATATAGCAGACTAATTAGCTCCTCTCTCTTTCACTCTGCTCCATTATTCATTCAGTAGGCTCATTATTGGCATATGAACACAACTGATAGACTGCTTGTGCTGCTTCTCCTGTTCCCAGTTGGAGCTCTGCTGTACAGGGACTGCAAGAGAATGTCGCCAAGTCAAATATAGGCACTTGCACTTCTTGCATTTAAAGAAATACATGTAATGATTTATTATTACAGAGCAGCAGTCATATCTTTAAAAGACAATTATGGGGTAACCTTTTTATCCCATAGTACTCTTTAGGGTCACGGAAGGACATATACTAACCTCCTCCGGTGACCCAAAGCTCAGTACATAGCGAGCCATTGCCCGCGATATACTGAGAGCGCCACAGCTGTGGCAGATCCCAACAATACTGTGGAGATCCACCCAGCTCACCACTCTCTGCAGAGAGATGATCGAGAAGTGAGTGAGTGAGTGACTATATGTGTTCAGGATCAAAATGAGAAGTAGCAGCCTTGGTATATTCACCAGCACAGGTCTTCCTTAAAGCAGCCCATGTTCATTTAAGCTAGGCCTATAGATGGCTCTATTGTCAACTGATGAATAATAATGAAGAATAAAGGGGTGTCCTTCAGTAAACGCAGGTCACTTCCACCTTTACCTACCTCTGGGGCAAAGTCAGCAATGTGGGTTTTTTCTTTCTCCAGGGCGGCCTGAGACACAAACATGGGGAAGTAGCAGTTCTCCACTCCCAGCTTCTTTATTTCAGTATCAAAGAAGTTTTTAATGGAGTCCCAGATGGCGAAAGACCAAGGACGCAATATGTAGCAGCCACTGACATCATAATATTCGATCAATTCGGATTTCGTGATCACCTGTGGGGACAGAAATCCTGTAAATGTAGAACCAGCAGCAAGATATGCCATATACCTTTTTATTGTGTCTAACCCATAATGATCTTTATCTTATAAGCCATGAGCAATTAGAGGTTACACCATGACAAGAGCAGAACACATCGACCCCCTTACAGCAGTTGAACTTGCAGTTAAAACCAGCTTACAATATTCCAGGTATATCAAAACAAAAAGGTGTGTGCATTCTAACAGTTTCCCTTGTCAGCACACAGCTGTCCCTTGTCAGCACACAGCAAGGGTGGAAACGGTGGCCTCTTTGCAGAGATGTGGCACCCCCCGCCGAGATCTTCAACACACAAAGCTCATCCTCCCTGCAGATTGGAGAGTTCTGGCTCTGAGTCAGCAGAGGGAGTGTCGGACCTCTCCAGGGAGCAAAGGTCCTTCTCTGTAGCATGCTGGCAGTACACAGGCTATTCTACTCAGGCTGTGGCTGCTTTCTATGGTACACAAACTAAGATTTTGCACACCTTTTGTTTGTATGCACCTGAGATGTTTAATGTTTCATTTAAAAATAAAAGTTAAATTTGGCTTAAAGTGAAGTTTTATATGAAAGCACATTTACCTTGATTTAGCAAGACAATCTAAAATTTGAAACCAGACAACAAAGCCAGTATAAAGCTCTTACCTGAGAATACCAATCTGCAAGGTTTTCCTCTTTCTTGGCCTCCAGTCCCAGCCTGAACAATAAACAAAATGGATACGTGAGTGAAGGAGGGAAGACTGGAGCCTTGTCAAGGTAAGGCAAGCCTGTATGCTTAGCAAGACATGCAGTCGTACCTGGTCTGTTTCTTTGGGCCCTGCCCTTCTCCGGCTCCTCCAGAGGAACCATTAAAAGAGTCCTTAGCTGGCTCTTTCTTCTGCCCATCACTCTGTTTGGCCTGCTTGTTCTGTTTCTCAGACTTGTTTTCTTTCTCCTTCTGCTTCTTGTCCTCTTTGGGTTTCTTGTCCACGGGGCCTACGGCAGCCACTGGCTTGTACTCTGTTCCTGTGAGGGCCTTGTACTGAGACTTTAGGTCCAGAAGCTGCTTAACTGCGGCATCCACTGCTTCCTGCACACCAAGGGTGAAAGGGTTACAAAATGATCCCACAATCTGCTGCTGCCTGGGATTAGGAACTAATAAATGATTAGAGGAAAAGGTGAGCCCTTAGATGTAAACACTGCACTGTTTACATCTGTGATTGGTCATTGCAGAAATTCAGAGTTAGGACTTACCGGTAACTCTATTTCCATTAGTCTTCCAGGACAGCATCACGAGATGGAATCTCCTCCCCCACACACAGGAAAGGTACAGAGCCATTCAGAATGGCTCTGTACACTGTCTGCTCAGCGAGCGCACTGAGCTGAGTTCATAAGCGTCCACCACTACGCCGTTTTTAAAACATATGGCGCTACATATACATGGTTAAACAACTACTACCAAGGCTGTAGATTTCTGAATCTTGCTTAAAATATGAAAGAAAAAAACAGTGTTCACACAGATAAGAAAACTCACCTTTGGAGCTTTTCCACTCTTCAGTTTTCGGACCTCGTCGCCTTGCTTGGACACCTTGTCATGGAGTTTGTCGGCTTCTGAAGAACTGGAGGAATTGTCTTGCACACTGACAGATTTCTCTACTGCCGGGTTTGCAGGCAGCTGCCCTGGTTTGAACTCATGACCCGTCTTTTCTTTGTATTCGGCTTTCAGGGCGAGCAGAGCTTTCACTGCCTCATCCACCTTGTCCTTTCAAAAAGAGAAGCATATATAAAAAGACCTGGCAGACATTAAATGAATCCTAAAAATAGAACAATGGCATCCAATAACAGCCCCAATGTTTCACAAACGTTTACACCATCAGCAATTCATTCTAATGTCCATGACATATCAGACGCTGTTTATCGGCGCTGTATTTGTCATACGTGAACAGATAATGGACCACCTAGATATACATAAACTAATTCATGTCAAATGGAAGGCATGACTTCCTTCTCAGTGCTTAGTTTTTGGCCACATTGCTAAGCCAAAGCCGTTTGGGGAGGTGGTCTAATGCAATACTAGCATATTTATTGATACAAAAAATCATCTGGAACAAGAACCAGCCTTTAGACCTCTTTACCTTTGGAGCCTTTTCAGACTTCAGCTTGCGGACAGCCTCTCCTTTCTCAGCAACTCTGGTATAGAGGCTAGCATGGTCTGCGGAGATGGCATCTGCTCGGCCACAACCCTGTGCAGGAGCAGAGGTTTTGCAGGGAGACTGAGGAGGGGGGCACCCAGGCTTATACTCCTGCCCAGTCTGCTGTTTGTATTCTGCTTTTAGGGTTAGGAGTAATTTCACTGCAGCATCAATCTCGTCCTTATCGCAGATGGAAGGAAGAAAAAGAGAAAAGCATAGGAAAGGGAAAGCTCTAAGAAGGCAAAGTGCATGCACTGAAAACAAGCTTGCTGTGAATGGAGCACCACAATCACTCATACACATTGTGAAAACAAAATTGGACAAGCTTTCCAAAATTTTCTATAACAGTGAATATGTCTAAATGAGCCCATTCGTTCGGTGGTTGGCTATACTGAGCACAGAGGCAGACTTGTGTTCTCCATGTACTCTACCTTAGGAGCCTTCTTGCTTTTGAGCTGTCGGACCAGCTCTCCTTGTCCAGTTACCTTGTTGTATACCACCGTGATATCAGCAGATTGAGGAGCAGTAGGAGGGGGTGCAGGATTGTTGCTCGCAGCTAAGGGAGAGCTGCCTGCCTTATACTCCTGCCCCGTTAATTGTTTATAACCTGACTTCAGTTCTAAGAGAGATTTCACGGCTGCTTCTACCTGAGGCTAGTGTAAAAACAGAAGAGAAAAGGGTGTGCACTGAGAGAATGGCGAAGAGCTAGGAGACAAACATACATACTGACATTTTTAAAAAGCAAGAAAACAAGCAAAGCCCAAAGAGTGCCCATCACCAGCAAACGGAGGCAGACAATTATGTTGGCGGAGTCATTTCTCAAGAACGCAGCCTACTAGGAAGCAGTTACATTAGTAATCCCTCAAATGTGGGTTCTATAGCACTGGTCCATCACAGCGGGACTCAGGAACAAGAGGTTCCACTTTTATAGAGAAAGGTGAAAATCTCTATATAGACCCCAACCACTACTGATTAGCAGGTCGAAAGATTCCTTTTGAGGGACAATACTGATTATTAGGAATGCATGAACTGTTTATAAGTATCTGGCTATTTCTAAGCTTCCTTAGACCTTAGGCTGTTATTTTTGTGTGTCTCGCTGATAGGTAGAAAGTACACTTAACATGTAAACCTAGAAAAACAAATAATTAAATACTAAAGCATGCTGGTCCTTAGATGAGGTGGCTGCATTGTTTTTTGTTTCAGGCTTTTATTCCCTGTTTATTCACCTAGTAATTCTACAAGTAACACTTGCCTTAGGGTGACAACTCTCATTCATTGTACTGTATCTATGGAGGAGCAGCATTGTCACCCTATGGCGGAATGTGTTTTGGACTACAGAAAACCTTCCCCTCTCCTCATCTATATAATTAAAAGAGAACTAAAGCCAAACTTTTTTGGGGGTTTTAATTCCCTTTTGGGCCAAATGATTACATTTACTAATGTATTCCTGTGACCCAAAGTTAGCATATAATGGGCTACTGCCCGCTATTTCCTGACAGCACAGAGCTGCTCTGCAGCAGGGATAGAGCCAGACAATACTGTTAGGATCCACCCCGCTGTCTGATTGGCAGCTGGCTCTGCCTCTCTAGAGCCAGAGCCAGTTGTGCCCGCCTTCTCCCCCGCCTGTCCCCTGCAATACGCGCTGGAGGAACAGAGAGAAGGAGGAGGGAAACCCTGCAGTGAGCAGTGACTGACAGTCACTGCTCTCTGAAGGGAGAAGACCCTGAGCTAAGCGAATAGCATTCCGTGATCAGCTCAGCTCTCGATCTATAGAGCCGGCATGTGACATCTGCAGTGCCTTTAAGTGGGGAGCCGTTATGTAGTCCACAGAGAGAACTGCAAACAATGCTAATTACAGTCAGAAGAGACATCAGAAATCAGCACACCTGATTAGTGGCAGGATCAACAGGCATTTTTTGCACGTATCAATCAGGTATACCAAAATGCTTTTAATGGTATATTTAAGAGATGTGCATGTAGGAGATACTTGGCAACTTGTGAAGAAAGCCTTATACACACAAGCACCATAAGATCCCACTATTAGGGATAAGAAATTTAGTAACTGTGATGTAACCACTTTAATTCAAAACAGACACGTCCATTTTTAATTGACTTATTTAAATAATTTGTACTGTAAGCCAAACGCATATTGACAAGAAGATCGCTTAATTTACACATCTGCTTTCTATAGACAAAATATTTCTATACCAATTATTACCTTTGGTGCTTTTTCAGCCTTCAGTTTCCGGACTAAGTCCCCTTGTTCAGTCACCTTATCATACAGTGTTTTAGCATCATTGCTGTTATTAGCAGCTGCTGGGGTAGGGGTAGTGGCGGGTGCAGGGACATTTCCTGGTTTATAGTCTTGCCCTGTTGCCTGCTTGTATTCCGCTTTCAAGGCTAAAAGACCTTTCACTGCGTTATCGATCGCGGCCTTCTCCGCTTTCTTGGCTTTGAGGTCCCGGACAAGATCTCCCTGAGCTGTGACCTTGTTGTACAGTTCCAAAGGACTACCTGCAGCCGCTGCTGGCTGTGGAGCTAAGACCGGAGCATCCTTCACTGCCGCTTCTGCAGACTTTCCCTTGGGCTTGGTCTGTGGGAAAACAAAGAAATTAGATACTAAATAAAGACATTTCAATAGGCTCATGCTAAACATGGAATGAATATTTTTCTGGTACATTATATATGGCCCGTGTTTAATCCTTTATGGAATAAATATTTTGTCAAACTCAAACCACAGTGGTCCAAATGTGTCCTAGAGTAAGAGCTCCAAGTTCAGAACTCATGACCTATCTATTCTCTCCTGCTTACCTCCTTTTTGACAGTAGCCACCTTTGCCTTCTCCTTAGACCCAGATGTTGGCATCTCCTTGGTGTGACCATCTGGGATGTAGATTAGGACACATGGGGCATCCTTGCAGCTGTGTGGACTGGACAAAAAGAAAGGATAAAAATAGAAAAGTTTGGTCCAAAGATGCAATAACCTGGTCTACTACTACAGTCACTAAAAGGTAGCTTAGTAGTATGATGTAAAAGTTGGGGACAAGTCAGACAGCAAAAGACTTCCCCATAAACTAATGGAATTGTTCCCTCATTGGCTGGGAATGCCAACAAATCTGATTTGATAGCTAGGAGTGACATATCGCTGGTCTGGCTAGCAAGGGAGCAGCGACACAGCAAAAGATAAGTGGTCTGTTCATGATTCTGTTTGTGGCGATTGTTCATGTAAAATAAATCTAAGGACCTATTTTCATGGTAGTGTAACCTATTACCTGATTGGCTCATAGGGCTCATCACAAATGTAAAACCCTCTTCGCTGCAGCTGGATAATGTCGCCCTTCTTCAGATTCTTTAGGCAATGGTCTCCCAGCATCACCTCTTCTTGCTGCAAAAAGGCAAATTTTACTATAGAAGTAAAAGGCATAAAATACTAATCTAGAAAACACACATTTAAATCAACACACAAATGTAATAATGAAGAGTAGATAGCTATTTTTAAAAAGAAAACAAAAAAAAAATGTTGTGAGTACGTCCCCCACAAATAAATGACAGGGTCAGCTATACAAGTACCACTACCACTGCTCTGAAGGCTTGCTTCCATAAAACACAGCCTAGTCTTCAAAAGCTAATCAACTTCAATAAGTTCCCAAAGTAGCACTGTGGTCCAAATGAAGCAGAGCAGCTCTAAGTAGGAATGCACCGATATATCGGCCGCCGAAACATATTGGCCGAAAATGGCACTTTTGGCTAAATGCCGAAAGTTCAATTTTTGTGCCGATACAGCGGTGCATCCCTGCTTTCTTTCCTCCCTGCTGGGCACTGCTCTGTGTCCCAGCGGGGAGACGAGAAAGTGTGACAGCCGGTCGAGCGCTGTGAGCGGCCGGCGTCTCTCCTCCCACACCGCTCAGCCTCCTATAGCAGTACGGCAGAGCAGTGTGTGGGCAGAGACAGCCAGCGCTCTCACAGGAGGCTGAGCTCTCCTCCCCGCTAAGCCTCCTGTGACAGTGAGTCAGGAAGGAGAGCGAGGTACAAACAATCAGTGATCGCTGAGTGTTTGTAGATAATTGAGGACATGGTATGTGTACTATATGCTCAATTATGAATGAATGGGAAGTGATCTACATCACCTCCTGTTCATTCATAGTTGTAGTTATAGTGAACATGCTCTGTCCTCACTCAGAGAGGATTCCTGTTCATTGATAACTGGGGCTGCAGAAAAAGAGATTGAGGACTTTGTGTCCTCAATCTCTTTTAAAAGGGAAATATCAGGGGCCTGTTTAGACCCCCAATATTTTCCAGAAGCCAGTAAAAGTTAAAAAAAAAAAATATTTAATAAAAAAAAAATTAAAACGTTTATAAAAAATAAACAAACATTAAAAACAGTTTCTCTTTTTCGGCCTGACAACTTTTTTTATTTCGGTTTTGTTTCGGCTTTAAAAATTCCATTTCGGTGCACCTCTAGCTCTGAGCATTGGTAACTGTTTCTCAGTGCTGATATCAGGGAGACTTCAGCCATGGCATACACCAACAATAAGATGGCATCAGTTCAACCAAAACTAATATTTTGGTCGCTACATTGGAAGACTCCTTTTTTTTTTTGCCCAGTGTCCATTTCTCCTGGAGGCAGCAGCATAACCCTGCATCTGAGAATTATTCAAAGCTCTGTCCCTCAATGGACGATAGAGAAAAAAAAGCAATTCACTAGGGCAAGTGAGGAGCCTCACCCAAAAAAACAATCACCTTGCTGCTTCTGTTAATGTATTGCTTGAAGTCTTCTTCTTTGCCCAGGACTGGCTTGGTGATCAGGTGGTCGTAGTTGACGCACGTGGTTGGAATTAAGGGAGCTTTAACTGTGTCTGCCAGCCAAGTGATCTTTGTGGTTTTCTTGTAGTCCTTGTTATCCAGGTTCAGCTTGGCGTCTAGAGACTGTATTTTGCCACTGGAGTCTCTGCGGTTAAAATACAGAGTTAATCAGTTTTCATCTTTTGAATAAAGGTATAAATTAATTAGTTTCTATGTGTATGTAGTGCACATTTACCCGTTTTTTTATTTGGCACCTTAGCCTCAGCATCAACATGGGACAGCAATAAATGTAGATCCAAATGCAACCACTCAAAAACTAAATACACATGCACAATCACAAGGTTGAACTTGATGGACCTGTGTCTTTATTCAACCTCAAATACTATGTAAATAAGCTTTGACATGTTAATTTAGTTCAAATTAAATTCCTTTAAAATCTTGTTCAGACAGTTCCTCTCATGGGGTGACAAATGTCTCCCGATTGTGTCCTTGTATTTTCATCCTGTCACACGGGCCCCTGATAGAGACTGCAATGGGCCATGCCAGCACACCTTTCACAGGCATGTTCCACTACTGTCACTATCGTATCGTATGGTCCATAACAACAATATGCAGCCAACAATCAAGTGAGTGCGTGTAGACTGAATGGCTGAAAGAGGCAGGAGAAAATCAGCAGCACTCAGATGGAAAAAAAGGTGAAATCAGCATATTATGAAAAAAGTAAATATTACTTTTTTTTTTCTTCTAAAGTGGACCTAAAGTAAAAAAATAACTTTAGGTGCTCTGGTTCCTCTTACTGTGAGCATGCTAAAGCTAAAAGTTTAATTCCAGAAATACCATCTTTCATGGAGCTGCTTCCTCCAGGCCTAACCTGCTGCTCCTCCCCTCTCAATTCCATAGGTAGGCCATTATCAATAATCGCTTCCATCTTACGAGGAGGAGTGGTTTGCAGTCAGTGAGTGCCACTGCTTCATACAGACCCCACCTTCAGCTACATGATAATAAAGTGTACCTGGTCAAGCCAGTGAATATTTAAAGCCGAAAAATGGTTGGCTTTAGTGTGGGTGGCATAAGAGGAACCTGCTGACTTTGAAGCAGAACTAAAGCCGAAAAAGAAAAAGCAAAAAAAAAATCATAGTAGGTAAGAGTTTCTTTTCTTGGTTTTGGACAATGCAGCTCCAGAGTGTATGTAGAGGAGCTCTGGTATCAGTGGCTGCCCAATAGTGAAAAAAAAACAAGAACCCCCCCACCCCAAAACACAGACCCTGAAGATCAAGAGAAGACGGTGGCAGACCAAGCAACGAGGAGGAGGGCATACTAGTGGGTAAAACTGCCATAATGTGCAAGTATGTTATTGGCATTAGCTCTGCGGACCCACAGACGCAATAGATCTACTTTAAACATGTGTCAGAGAAGTAGGAAGTACGCCACTTCAGTCCTCCATCTGAAAATGATAATGGTATTGCTTCAATACTTTGTCACATAGCGAGAACAAGGCCTGACATTGTTGGACATTGTTTAGTTCATCAGAGGTGGATTTCTTCACTTTACTTATATAGATTGATACTGCTCATCATTTTACTGCTTACCCAGCTGGTCTGCTTGTTATCTGTTATCGGTTTAAGTTTTTACATTTGGGTTTCCATGTTCCCTTCCCCTGCCCTCAACCATCTGATCTGTCCCCTCCTTGTATCTTTCCTATTATTATTATACAGGATTTATATAGCGCCCACAGTTTGCGCAGTGCTTTACAATATAGGGAAGACATTAGAATTACAATACAATTCAAGACAAGATGATAAGGAGGGCCCTGCCACTGAGGGCTTACAATCTAAGACACCGTCTGAATGGACATGCTTTTTTTCCTTTTGCATACACTTTTATGTTTGTATTCTGATATATTGTTTTGAACATGAAAAATAAAGATTGTCAAAAAAAAAAAAAAAATTAGAGGCCTGCCAATTTAGCCTATGACAGGAGTAATAACCCCATTTACAAGGCAACAAATCTTACCTGTGTATTTTGGTGATGTTTAGGTTTCCCCAATTAATAAATGTGACTGTCTCGCCTTCAGAGAATGTTTCAGCATCCGCTCCCTCGATGAGAACTCTTGGGCCGTACCATACTTGCTTCAAACCGACCTCGGCATTCTTAACAAAAGCAGACAAAATCTCAAACCTTCAGGGTACATGTGAACCCAATCACTAAAGTCTCATATAAGCTTTAAAATTAAAAAATTATGTCATTTCAAAAGATGTATTCAGAAATGCCAATGATAAGCTATGATAAAATATTGAAGGCTTGCCAAATGTTTTGTTCAAAATAAATTCTTACAAATGGGCATCTAGTGGGGCAGGACTGCCTTTTATGGATCTGTGTTTTGTACATATGTAATGTACATATTATACTTAAAGCCTTTTTTCTTATCAGGTGCATGCATTAGTCACTTAAGTGTATGTCTGGTATGGCTGGTGTAAGAAGAAATCCTCTGGCAGGTGCATTGCTATGTGCCCACTATATTTAGATTCACCTTCTCTGTTCTGGTAACCATTTTCAGAGACAGATTGACTGAAAATCCAAATATGTCAAGTTTGTCAGCAAGAGAGTATCTTCTAGTTCTGGGGACAGCTATCTATGAGGAGATTTACCCTCACATTGTAGAGTTATTCTCTCAATTCCTGTTGCATCTCTAGGGCATAAAGAGAAGGAAAATCTCCCCAACTGGCCAACAAAAAAAAAAACTCTGTTTGTACTTCCCATTCTATTCAAACCTATCAAAAAAAAAAAGAAGCTTTGCCTATACATACACATATAAAAATTGAATAGGTCAAGGAAGGGTTAGAAACTATAACATTACTGGGGGAGATTTTCCCTACTTTGTGTTCTGGTAATAACATTGTCAGTAAGAGATAAATCTTCACTCATAATAATAATGATGTTCAGTTTCTTTAAGGGGTGAAAAACTACAGAGTTGAGCCACAAAATACAATAAAAATAGGTTTTTGTACTCACTGTAAAATCCTTGGATTGTTAGGAGTCCATTGAGGGACACAGGAAGTCTTAGCCTGCAGTTTATACTGCTGCCAACAGAAGAATTGGCCACTGGCAAACTGGCCATTGGCAAACAAAAAACTGTACAGCAGCCAGGGTACCCCTCCTATTATCAGCATGCCTAAATTTGTAGCAAAGTAGTACCAAGAGCATGATCATAAAAACACAGGGGAGCAAAACCTGTGTCCTTCAATAGACTCCAAGAAAAAGATTTCATGGTGAGTACAAAGCTTTTATATTATCTTTATCATCCAATGAGAGGCAGAGGAAGTCTTTTGAATGTCTGAACGAAGTCCAATGGAGGGGAGGGAAACACAGCAAACACTAACAGGAGCAAGAAAATAACAGAACGGTTTCCAGCTAAAAGAGCCACACGAACAACCTTAAATGAGGCCACAATGTCCGCCTGGTAGAACTTAGAGAAAGTGTGAACAGAGGGCCAGGTGGCAGCTTTGATGCTGGAAGGACAAATAAGCAGTTATAGATCTAGTAGAATGCACCTTGATGGGAAAGGCTAGAATTTGATCCTTGAGACCATAAACTTGGACGATAGTCTTCCTGAACCACCTAGGGATGGGTGGAAGAAGTTAGTACTTTCTTATATTGTCCATCCGGGATTCCAAACAAAGGAATCATTCTTCCTGAAACAAGCATTGGCTGGGAGAATTTAGTCCTGGTTGAGGTGAAAATCAGAAACTACCTAAAGCAAGCAGGTTCTGGGTCTCAGCAACACTTTTATCCTATGCAGAACTAGAAAAGGTTCCTTGCAGGATAAGGCCACCAGTTTAGGAACTCGCCTCACTGATGTGAACTAAAAGAATCACCTTGTGTGTGAGAGTAGAGGGGAAATTGTCTCTAATGGGTTCAAACTGCGGTTTGTGAAGCACAGAAAGAACATGATTCAGATCCTAAAGAATCACAGGGGAAGCTACATACTGGTCCACACACTGGTCTTAGACAGTGAGAGGCCAATGGTCTCTGAAACAAAATAGAAAGGGCAAAAATTCCGGGGTGGATGCTCCAAGACGCACATCAAGTGAAATATGCCTTCCATTTACATTGATTTACCTTGCAAGAAGTAGATTCAAATTTTTTGAAGAACAAAGGAATCACAGACTCAGATGCCTCTGTTCTTTAAAGCCAGGACTTAAACAGCCATGCAGTTAATGGCAGTTAGTGCAAAGCAGGATGGTAAATTACTACTTGGGATAGAAGATTTTTATGACCCAGAAGAGCATCCGGAGGATGTTCAAAATGTCTCACCAGGTAGATGGTGAGGAGGTCGCTGCCGTGGGGGCTTACAATCTAAAAGGGAGGGGCAAGTGATACATGAGGAGGTAGCTGTGTGGGGATGAATTGTTGAGAATGTGATGGTTGAGTGGTTCGTTTGAGGTGGGCTAGGCTTCCTTGAAGAGATGAATCTTAAGGTCAGGACTGCGATGGAATCTACGTGAATTACTTTTGGAGTGAACAGGGCAAGCTCGGAGGCAATGGCATCTGTAAAGCACACTACACCTATCCCGGGGCCCATAGGTCACTTTCACGCTATCTCTGCAACTTCCTTCCTGCTTGGACACTAGCAATGAACTGAGGCAAGCTGGTAGAGAGCGGGGTTATCTTGGGGTGGCCTACAATTTGTTTGTTTGCCAGTGTCCAATCCTCATGTAGGAGGCAGTATTACCTGAAGGTTAAGACTTCCTGTGAACATGATTGGGGTTCTAACTCTTTTCCACTAAACCAAAATCATGAAAATATAGCTGGAGTTACACTTTAAGCAAAACATATAAAAGGGTAAATAAAAGAGCATAGTAACCTTTGGATGCTTGGCTACTTCTGTCACTCCTTCTTCTGCTTCCGGAATGTTGACTGGGACAACCTGGCTCCTTGACAGGGCAGTAAACCGTGGAGCTATAGGATCTATCACCTAGCAGAGACAAATGCACAAGCAGATTAAGCACATGCAACCTGTGGATGGAAGCATCATTAAGTACCAAGTCAGACATTAACTGGTCTTTTACAAAATCAGAGAAGGAAACCTTATACACTAGCTTTTTCTGTTTTAAGTAGAAACAAAAAATGTGTTTTATAAAACTTTATATGAAACTGGTTGAAAGATGGCATACCTGCTGTGATTTAATCTACACTGGCTCTACTCTAGTGTGTGGAAGACATACTACAATTCGCAAACCCTTTACAAAGTTTTAACAGTGGCAGAAATTTAATCGGTATAGAAAATTGTCCCCCTGCTGGGCTTTAAAAAGGGTTCTACTCTCTACTAAAGGCCCGACAGACTGATGTCAAGTGTCATCCTATTGCTGCAGCTGCTACTACCATCATCAGGACCAGTAGTTAGCCTTGAATGCGTAGGAACAAGGAGGTGAAGCTTCACTTTGATTTATGCTTGCATGGGACCACAATAGTGACTGTGGCAGGGAAGAATAAGAAGGGATTTTAGTCAGCAGATTTCTGCACTGGAGTCACTGAGGTGCTAAACAGTTTGGTATATTTAGTAACTTATGTGTCATGGCAAAATGAATTAAAAAACACATACGCAGTACATCTCTGCAATACATACATATGTCTCCATGTTTTATTTTCTTAAAGTAAAGAAAAAAATGAACTGCCAGAGATCCAGTAAGCGCCTCACTTCCAGTAGTGAGCTTACAACTCTGCAGCCCGACAACCTGCGTTGTCACTGCCACCTAAATTCTCCACTTTTGTTGAACTATAGAACACCCGGCCTTCTAATGCCCGCTACCTAAGGAGGTACTCTGAAGTCCAGACAGGACTGACAACACTGGTTGGGATTTCAGAGAAGCAGAGGAAGTGTTCTTAACTCAGTACTAGACGTTAAACGTTCCGGGATTTCTAGCAAGATGAAAGGTAAATTTGGGGATTTACAGTTTTGAAAGTGAATCAGCATGGGCACATTTGCATGTATTGCAGAAATATACTGCATGCTTTTTTTTTTGCAGACATAAACACAATTCAACAAAAATCCTTTAGTTGGCTGCTGAAGATGCAACAGCGATCTGATCACTCTGCAATTTCATTTTTCGTGAAACAATCTAACCAAAATTTACATGGCAGAGACCCCAGGCTGCTCTATTATGTTAATATCTACCATCTCTGAGCTTTGATAATTGGCCCTCCATTGTGATGGTTGGCCCGATTAACAAAAAGCAAGGCTTACAGGGTGGAAGGAATGGGTCAAATCTTAAAAGGAGAACTATGGGGTTAAGGCTTTTCCCCATAGTTCTCCTTAGGGTAACGGGAGGACACAAACTAGCGTCCTCCCGTCACCCTAAGCTCAGTATACTGAGACGCCGAGGCTGAAGCAGATCCCGACAATTATGTCTGGATCCGCCCAGCTGCATGAGTGACAGCTGGCTCTGCCTATCTAGAGGCAGCGCCAGCTGTACCAGCCCCCTCCCAGTCAGCGCTGGCGGATCGGAGCGGGGAGGGTGGAATCCAGCCCCCCCTGTCACGGCTCTCTGCCGTGACAGGAACGAGAGGTGAGCGAACGCCGGTATGTGTTCGCTCACTTCTCGATCTGCTGAGCCGACCTGTGACAGTCTCATTGTCACAGGTCGGCTAGAACTATGAGGTGAGTGAAAAGCACTCACCTCATAGTTCTCCTTTAAGCTTCAAGGCTAAGGGCTTGCTCACACCAGCAGCCATGCTCAACTGCATCGCTGCTGGTGTGCGCATGTCTGGAAAGTGCTGATACACTCGATCAAGCCGAGTGTACAGGTAACATTTCATTGAGTTTTATGGGCTCACCACAGTGCGATGCTGTTGTATGAAGTCTCACTGCGGTGCGTTTTTTTAAAAAAAGTACTGCGTGCCGTACTTTTTTTTTTTTAGTGCACACCAGCAGCCATGCGGTTGATATACTGCACACCACTGGAACACAGTGGTGTGAACTGTCACCACCCATGACAAGGCAGTTTGCCTTGCCTTGCGTTCGAGCTGCGCTAAAAAGCGGCCAACAGGAACGGTTTGAACAAGACCAAGTCAACATTTTGGTAAAAATGTACTTTGAACATCGCATATTTTTAATATATTTATTTAAATTAGAACAAATGTACAGCTATGAAAGGTGCAGCAAATGCAGCTTCACAAGCTATTCTTCACATAAGAACAACTGACTGCAATGAATTCAGGTTTGTCCTTGTCCAAGTTTAACAAATTTAACTATTGAAAGGATTTTCTCTCACTTCATGCACTGGTGACAACTCTAAAATTTTGGATTTCCCATAATTTTCTTTCTCGGTGACGACTTTCACCAGGATAAACAGAGAGGGTGAATCTTCCCAATGGAGGCACAGACTGAAATAGAAGTCTAACCTGGGTCTAACCCTTCCTATCTCTTTGCAAATCTTTTTAAGGCAATCCAAGACATTTTAGTGTTATTTTAGATGACTAAGTCATCTTGGATTTGACTAGGAACAGGGAAACAGACTTGATGTGTCAGTAACATTGTCAGCAATTGCATCTCAATTCCATTTCTTGATTGCACAAACAAAAATCACATTAATAAATAGGATTTCTTCAAGCTGTTGTGTTCCTAGTTATCCATATGTAAATATATTGTTATTGGCAAGCAACTAAAATCCGGATGCTGGTACCTAATAGGACTGGCCATGACAATAATGATGAGTCTGGTATATGACAATTCTTTTTTGGGTCTATAAATCATAAAACTCTTCAGAACCCCTGGTTTATATACTTTTATATGCACAGCATAGCTACAAACACCACCATTCTCAGATAGATCTGTGTGTGCTCTGCTGAACATGATCCAGTGTCTAGTGTACATGTCTACAGAGCTTTGATCTTGTGAGAGCAGTGATAGCGTGATGTCCTTTCCTAATAACACATACACATCTAGATTCAAGACCAGTTATTGTCATCTTCAAGAAAGCATTGCATTTAAAAGGGGAGGAAGGCACAAACACAGGGAGAAGGTTGCATGCTAGACAGATGAAGACAAACAGCAAAGAAAATGTAAAACAAGCAATTGTTAGGCTGCACATCCGCAAGAACAAGGCAAGTCCAGGGGCTGGCTGGACTGAACGCTGGAACCATGAAACTGGAGCCAGTGGGTTTCATCCAAATGTATAAACTCTTTTTACAATGCTGATCAGCCTTCTGCTACACATATAAAGTGACTGTGCAAGTAACACAACTAAATTGTCTGAATGGTAGCTTGGAGCAATAGAAGTGGTTGCGTCGGGAAGCATTTCATTTGCGGCAACAGATTTATGGTTTGGTAGCCTCAAATGCCTAAATGAATGCGACCATAATATCTAAAGTGAGGCTCAGGAACTTATAATGGCTTTCCCTGCATAGTTTAGAGAAACTGTCACCTGCCCATTCAGGAAAAAGTAACAATGCCTGCTAAGTGCCCATTCCCCCCAGCAATCGATACTCATCAATCCACACTCCCTCGCTGTCCTCCAGTTGTAAGAGTTAAGCTCCAGAGTTGGATAGTGTCAGAGCTCACCTGGTTGCATGATCTCACTTACCCTTGCATGGGACAATGTTCAGGCCCGGTGTTTGGACACTCAGGCCACAGCACTGTCACATGCTCCCCCAAACCCGGACGCCCCAGAGAGGGGCTCCAATGGAGGCAGTAAAGGAACGTGGATGGCGGACTATCTCTTGTTGGAAGAGTGAGTGATCAGAAGGCACTGACACTTTGTTCTGAATGGAAGGTGACAGTGTCCCTTTAAAGTGCATCTAAAGCCAAACTTTTTGATCCAGTGACAATAGCCACCAAGGAAAAGAGAGAGGGTGAATCTCCTCAGTAGGAACACAGATAATAAAGAAAACCTGGTAGGAGGTGGTAATCAATTCCAACCCTACCCATAAGTAAAACAAAATGTTTTGGCTTCACATATACTTTAAAGAAAAGCATTATAAAATCATCTAGACCATGGAAAGAGCAGGAAGGAACAGCTTTCATTAGCTTTAAGAGACAACAAAGCCAAACAACTGTAACTGCAGCTGGTGTGGAGAATCTCTATCATCCTTTCAAACAATATTATGGATAGAATTTCCCCCCCAATCCATGTGTTAGTTAGTAGCCCTTTATTAATAAGTATAATGTTGTATAAGGTTCAATGTACTATGCCTGCCAGCCAGCCCCTGAACACAACACAATCAGAAGCCTCCGGAAACCTGGGCTCCGCTCATTCTTTTAATATTTAATGAAATCAGCCTTTTAAAAAGGAAAACTCCAGCTTCAGTAAGAAATGGATAGAATATATATAATTGCTATGCAAGCCATTTTGTAATTTAATGACTTAAAAGATTTACTTTCCATTCCAATCAGCACCCAGTCATCTATAAATGCCAAAACAAATGACATTTCTCTTTCTTGAAACCACTGCAATGGCATTTCCCAGAATCCTCCTCTCCTGCTTCTGTAGATGCCAGCTGTCACACATCAGCTCTATCGATCAAGAACTGAGCAAACACATACCGCAAATCACTCAGTTCACGATCTTCTCCCTGTGTAGAGCGGTGACTGTCAGTCATCCCCCTCAGGGATTTCCCCCTCCCCTCTCCTTTCCTCCAGCACTCATTGGAGGGACAGACAGGGGAGGGGGCGGGCACAGCTGGCTCTGGCTCTAGAGAGGCAGAGCCAGCTGTCAATCAGGGTGGATCCCGTCAATATTGTCAGGATCTTTCCCAGCTGCTGCGCGGCTCTGCACTGTAAGAATATAGCGGGCAATACACGAGAAGGACTCAACCCTGGGGACAGACTTATCAATTTTAAATGAATGACAGGTTCACTTCAAGCTTTGGTGAGATACCTGCTCATCAGGAGGTTTGCACTGTCCCAGACAACACTCAGAATGATCATGTGATTATAATAAAGGCTGACCCCTTCTGCTTATTACTTAGATAATTCTAGTGAACTTGGCAAAGTCTTTATATCTCAGAAGCAGGTAAGGAGCTACAGTTCAGTTTGCCAAACCCTTTTTTTGTTTTGATCTCAACAAAGCTGGAGTTTCACTTCAAATTCTATGGCACATGCTAATTTGGGAAATGCTACACATGCTATAGGACCAACCAAATTATAACAGAATATTGTGGGAGAGGAGTAAAGTCACTGACAGTTTTCACTTTAGGCAGGATGCATTCACTGCAGTTACGAGTGCTAAATAAGTGCTCAACCTGAGTCCAAGGTTTATCTTTAAGTACATTTTCTTGACATTAAGAAAATTGTGATGCTTTATATCACATCATGATCAAGTTCTTATACAGTATTGTTGTACTCCCTCTAGTGGTCAGTAGTACGTCAGACAGCACAAGCAGTATATTTATTGAATGGCTATTGTGAGAAAATTGGTAACAGAGTAAAGCTGGCCATACACTAAGATTTATTTTATTCAGCCTGCAGCATGGACGCACGAATCTCCCACTGTGGCTATTGTATTTTCACAGATGGCACATGCCGCTATCAGAATACGTGAACAGTGAATGCATCTCATTGGCTGCAGTCACCTTTCAGCCAAAGATTTTCGGGCCAGCTCCTTATTCATTCAACGTCTGTTGAGCCAGTAGGCACATCCATATAATAATTATGTCCAATTCCTGTAAATTGGCCAAAATTCTAACAGTGTATAGCCAATCTAAGTCAACTTAACACTTTTTATAAATGGTGGGCAATAAGCAAAAGGAAACCAGAGCTCCAGTGGTCATGCTGTGGCTCACCCTGCTACCCTCATGTCTCGGAAGGCCAATAAGGCTTGCCCATCACAATCTGCACTCAGAAAAGAAGTGGCTAAACATAGCAAGCCCTGGTTAATTTTTGTTTTAAAGTGTCTCCGGGATTTTAAGAAATAAACTGATCCACCATGCAGGCACTGGGAGGGAGGTGCCTGCACTATTATTCCATTGGGGTTACCCTTAGTATCAGGACCACAGTAGACTTTAAAACAAAGCAAAACGTTTGCTTTATCTGCCCCTGCCCAGCAGCACAAACCTTTCCTTCACTTGCATGCTGCTCTGTTCAGCTGCCGGGAGTGAGGAAAACACATGGCATGGAAGAGCATATGATTCACATGATGACAGCACTGGGCTAATCACCAAGCACCAAGACTCTCACACAGGAAGGGTTCATAGCCCTGTGTGAGCTGCGACTTGGGTGACTCAAGTAGTTTACATAGGGTGGCTTCTCCTGCTCCAGGCAGCCAAATGGAGTGATTGGGGAGTAAAGGAAAGGGCTGCTTGGAGGGAGACATTAGAGCTCAATCAGACAGGCGTGCACACCAATAAAAAAAAGGTGGGATCTGTTAGGTGTGGAGAAAAAGGATAATGTGCACTTATCCTTAATGGCTCATTCAGATGGGCGTGCATGCCCATAGAAAGATCTGATCCCAGAAGGGACAGGTTCTGTGTGTAGTTGTGCGCAGCAGCCTGTTCTTCCCACTGTCTGTGTCTAAGTGTAGGCACCCGGACCTGCACAAATGTAATTGCATGCAGTCGCATCCTCCCATAGGGCAATTGCACACAGCAGCTGTCCCTTCTGGGATCTGATCTTTTTAAGGGCATGCACGCCCATCTGAATGAGCCATAAAGGATAAGTGAACGTATCCATTTTTTTGTCCCCCACCTAACAGATCACACCTTCCCCCTCCAAATATTCATACTTACCTCAATCCATCATCCACTGTCTCCTGTGTTTGTTGACATCCCATGCCACAAGTCCTCTCTCTCTTGGCCACACCTGCATAGTATAGCCCCATAGGCTTCTATAGGGCTCATCTACTTTCGTCTCCTGCCCAGGAAAACTACTTTAGATCCATAGACTTCTATAAAGCTTTATTGCACAGGCAATGTCAAGAGAGAGAGGACATGTGGTGCAGAATCCAACAAACAGGAGGCAGCAGGCATCTGTAGAGGGGGAGAGTGGGATCTGTTAGGTTAGGGGAGGGGGACAAAAAGAATAAGTGTATGTGGTCTGAAAGTTCATTTATTCTATACAGAGAACCTGTTGCTTTGCCCTGTATGGGCAAGGCACTGGTTAACTTCCGCATCAGATTACCCAATATACAGATGACCACTAGAAAGAGAATTTACAAATCTGTACATGAAAATACAAATACCCACAGTATTAAAAATGAGTTTGTCCCTTCAAAATTACTTTCAGATAAACATAACAATTACTTAAAATGTATCATTCATAAAAACATTAAAACAATTGTGTATTTCCCAAATGTAATATCTCAACTAGAAATATATTTTCTGTGATCTAGTTTTAATACATAATGCTGTTCTGATAATGTAGATGGACATTAAAGCTAAATTAATATGACGACCCAACCGCACCTCCTCCACAGACAAGCGTGCAGCTTTGGCTCTGGCTGAAAAGCAGGCTTGCCAGAAGGAGGGCGTGTAGCTACAAAACAGACGGGGATTATAAAGCCACCAAACGCACATCATTATGTGGCACTGGGACATATGCAAAGTATAACCTGGTCCTCCCCGTACAGCAGTGAATGCACCTTGCCAAGCACACAGTGTTTTCTAACGCTAAAGCTGCGAGTCAGTTGAGCAGTGATGCAATGTGATTGTGTTCTTCGCAAAATAACAGAGGAAGCAATGTTGGCTTACAGAACTGTAAGCTATATGCCAAAGGCTAAACGGAATGCAACGGGAAATAAAAAACTAATAACAGCAATGAGTAGTAATACCTTCTTACAGATAGCTCGCAGCTTGAAAGCAGAGAAATGAAATGCAGAGTTTTCAGATCAATTTCACGGCAAGTTCCCCTCCCAAAAGTCAACGTTTGGTCGGGACAAGTTTACATGAACACAAGGGCCAAGGGGCAGACAAGCCTGCAGGACATTCTACAATGCACTGCAGACTACAGGAACAGATAAATAGTTATGGGGGGAGGGGGTATGCACACTATAGAATGTACCCTAATACATAGGAGTCACTTCTTACCTTCTTATTGAAAGCCCAAATCTTGTCCCATTCCATGTTTACAACAGACCTGGAAGATCCCTAAAAAATAAGAGAAGAAAATGAGATGAACAATTGTTCCTGGGAGCAATCCTATCAGCGCTTCCTCTGCTGTGCTGTATTAAGTCTTGTCAAATGATTATGCTACTAAATTCACAACACAAACAGGATAAGCATCAGAACGGCAGGCTTTTCGAAAGTAAGCCCTTGCAATGGGGCTACACGGTAAGGGTTAAAGGCTCGTTGTGTAGTTACTAAGTAACAGAATAAAGGAGATACACTCTCCTGATCCTCAGTTTTGTGGCAGTCAGCGCTCACCTCTCTCCCTTCTGGCCATGGTATGGCCCTCGGCGTCCTCATGTCTAATGCAGGAGAATGGACCTGTATTAGATCTGATGAGGTCAGCAAGGCTTAGACCACCTGAGCCAGGGGGAGAAGAGGCTGCAGGGAGCGGTCTTAGCAGCCAGGTGGGATCGAGGATCAGATAAGTATATTTTCTTTATTTGCGCCTCTAAACCAAAATGAGCAGTTTACCCTTGCAGTGCGGGGGTCGCCCCACTGCGGGGATTGATTTTGAAAATCCTGGAGTTGCTCTTTAAAGTGCTACTATGAAATAAAAAAATTATGCGTGAGATTCTGTGTCAGTAGCCTTAAAGTGACACTAAATCAGTTAAATCCAAAAAATGCATTCAAGTACTCTATTAACAAAAATGTATCTTACTTGCGTATCACTCGACTGTAGATCCTCAAATCATCTCTGAATTGGTGCGGACACTGTCCTTCCTTCTGGAGGGTGACTACTTTTGTTGCCCATGGTCCCTGTGTGTGTTATAAAACAGCCACCCCTCCAAGCTCGCTCCCAAGATAGACTATCTCAATAGAAATTAGTAAACGAAAGGTGAGATTGTAGTCCATCACAGGAGCAAGCTTGGAGGGGTGGCTGCTTTACACCACACACAGGGACCATGGGAAACAAAAGTAGCCACCCTCCGGAAGGAAGGACAGTGTCAGCACATTTTTTTTAGCCTATGTATGTGAATGGGAATATGTATCAAATATAATTTGGCTGCAAAAGTGGAAATACACTTTAAATAAACACAGAGCAGCCTTCATTTACTCATTTTACTACAGCCCTAAGATAACAGTCTGCTGCATGTATCCATACCATGAAAAAAATACAACTGCAGAACTAAGTAGCCGTATTCAGATGTAACATGTTAAAACTGGACTCCAGGCTTATACAGTATATAAGAGACAAATGAATGCGGCCCTGCATAGGGACACGGCTGCAATGCAGCTTTTTCTTTTACCTGAGCAGCAATGAATTGCTTCAGCCCCTCCACAGACATGCCCCTTCGTAGGACGCCTCGTACGGTTGGGAACCTGGGGTCATCCCTGAAAGAGAAAAATCTGTATATTAAAGCTGAATTCCAGTCAAACAGCTCCATACACAGATGGCATACAAAGAGGTGTTTTACCTGCAAAAGTATTTGTATTTCTGTCTATCCAGTCTCAAGATTTACACCACCCTGCCACACAGCTCTGTCTGGCAAAGGAAGGGGACATGACTTTTCTATGCTTCAGTGTTACTTTTACCTACAGTTCTCCTTTCCCACCGCCACCCTGGGACTGGACACTGCAAGGAGAAGCAGCACACTAATGAGCTCATCTCTCTGATCTCTCTTCCTATCATGCTCCTTGCACTGCAGCACAAGTGACTTCCTCTTTGTTCTGCTTCTGCCTCCTCCCTCTTTGAGCTCTGCTGTACAGATTGTATAATAGATTATAAAAGGCTGATGTGTGTGCGCTGGTGGTGAAGGTCCGGGGTGAGGGGGGTGGAGTGATGCTGGGTAAAAGACCTCAGAAGGATCTGGTTCATGTGCTGGTGTTCAGTTCTTTGCACTGTGCACTTTGCATTTATTTTGTAGTTTTGGAGAAAATAGGCGGTCATACTGGAATCATGGGGGTCATCTGGTTGTGACTGTTATATATACCTACGCTACCACACATGGTATTTTGCCACTCTATGTTGCCTTGAGAAAGGGACCCCTCGAGGCCCCGAAAAGTCAGTACGCGTCTGTGATGCGGTTCTTCACAATAAATTTGTGAAACACAATTACATGTCTGGAATGCTGGTGATTTTAAATTTTTTGAAGTAGGAGCTGATGGTGTGGCTGCCGGGTTTTCCCATCTACAGACACACCAGCATGTCTCCATGTATTAATCTCATTAAAATGGAAAAAATAAACTATGACCTGCATGGCTATCAGCCATGTAGGACACAATGACATTAGATGATGACACTGTATAAATTCTGGCACTTAGAGAGTTCATATTACAGTGAGCAGACTCAGAGACCCACGGACAACACAAGTACTACCTGTGCTATTCTGTATACAGAGCTCTATAGCTCAACCTGGAATTTACACACACATGCACACAACACACGCACACAACACACACGTTACCTAGTCAAAGCTAGGAGTCCTCAACTTCTCTCTAAAAAAACATCACAGGCAGAGACAGTGTGCCTAAAAGCAACAACTTGAGCTGTGCCACCTCTTTACAAAGCCCAAAATGCTCTGGGAATTCCAGGTCAAGTGTTAAATGAATAACAAATAATTATATGAGCTGTGCAAACTATATACAAATGTACCAACTTAAAAAAAATAACTGCCCGAAAACCATTAGTTTCCCTTTAACTGCCTCCGGGCCGGCCGTAGTAGAAAAACGGCCGGCCCGGAGCTCTCTAGATCTGAGCGGGCGTCTCTAGACGTCCGCTCAGACAAAGAGGAATTTGACCCATATCTTTGGAATGACAACAAATACACCTTTAGAAATGTTTAGTAATGGCAATCTACAGATACTTCCAGATAATTTTTATTCTTTGCATACCTTATTTCAATTTTCCTCCCCATTCTTCTTACAGTGGCCATGTTACCTGAGGGCAGGTTACTAGATCTCCCTTTACTTCCTGGAACTCTAGCACATGTGACCATGCACATTATCTGAGGGGAGGAAAATGCTTTCCCTGGGATCTTGTGAGATTACAGATGAGATTTCCTAGCAATGCTCTGCTGATGTAATCTTCCCAGGATGCAATGCTTGGGCCCATTACATCATGTGTGCCAAAGTGGACCAGGAAGTAGAAAAAAAGAAATTGTAAGTAAAATAAAATTGTTTGTTTAGCTAATGAATGTGAGACGATTTCATATCAGCATGTAGAACTGTTGTGATTTTTTTTTTTTGTCAAAAGGGGGTAAAGGTCTGCTTTAAGAAAAAACAAGGGCTGACTATTCTGTAATTCAAGAGTCTTGCACGGGTATCTTTTACAGTGCATCACGCTAGCAGCAGAGGACTGGACTAAAACAACTAAACATGCATTTATTTTTATTTTTTTATTGAAATGACTATGGTGACACATTATGCAGACATTCTAGGTCTAGGTATAAACAGTGCTGAGCAGATTAGTTCTAATGTCCCCCAATTCTAGCTAAATTTTGGATTTCAATTATTGCTACAAGTTACAGCTCAGACATTACTTTTTGAGGTGAACAACCTGTCTTAGTCAGTAATCACCAGAATGTAGTCAAACATGAACCAGTAACTGGAGTTTACACGTACCAACCATCCACAAGGCCTTCATTGACGAACCAAGTCAGTCTTCTCTTGGACAGCACGGTGTTGTTGAGGTTCAGACGACTATACTCCCAGATGTAGGGCTTTCGGATTCCCAAAGCATTAATGATCCAGTAAAACTGTTCATCCCGATCGTGATATTCGGTTGTACGGAGAGCATGCGTCACTCCCTCCACACTGTCAACTATGGGGCAGGCAAAGTCATATGTGGGATAGATGCTGGAAGGGACAGCAAAGTACATGTTGTGTCAGGCGGAGTAGAAATAAAAAAGCTAAAAACACCGAGAATGATGTGGCAGAGATTTTCTTTACTAAAATGCAATTTTTTAGCAGGGTAGTAAAAATGATACATTTGCCTTGTGTTACATAAGCTTCCAGACAATGATCACACTGCACTTACTTAAACTTGTTTCCTGTCCGTGGATGTGGCTGAGTCTTGCAACGGAACAAAGTGGGGTCTCGCATGCAGCCATTGTTAGAGTTCATGTCGATCTTAGCCCGCAGACAGCAGGTCTGACCGTACTTTGTGCCCTTCTTCATTTCTTCCCACATCTGCTTATTCTTCTCCACGGCTGGAAGGAGAAAAACAGGATTCATGAGCTCCTTGTTTTGGAGACTTTTGGGGGACACAGGAAGACTTTCATCTGTGGGTTATACTGCCACCTACAGGAAGACTGGACACTAGCAAACAAAAACAACAACAAAACTGTACGCCAGCCCAAGATAACCCCTCATTCTACCAGCATGCATCAGGTCTGTAACAAAGCAGTTCAGAGAGGAGAATCAAATACAGATGGTTGGGACCTGTACCCCTCAATGGACTTGACAGTGAATACAAAATTCCTATTTTCTATAGAAGGACACAGAGTTTTTAACCTTTGGGACATCTGAAAGCAGTCCAACTGAGGGGTGGCCAACACAGCAAAGAAAAGGCAAACTGGTATAAGAATTATTCTACCTGCAGCTGGGCGGGACCTACAGGACTGGTCTCCTCCCACAGCCTGTAACTGGATAGTAAAAGGAGAAGCAGCAGACTAATGAGCTTATGTCTGCCTCTCAACTCCTACAAGCATGCTCCTTACTAGCACATAAGCACTGCATCCCAGTCTGAGCTCTGATGCACAGGGGACTAAAAGAGGCCAATGCCAAATTACCTTTAGGAACTTGCACTGCTGGCATATAAAAAAAAAACATTTTATTTCTGCCTGATGTTCAGTTTTAAATTGTTAATATGACCCATAATGTCTGTATTACTTACAGTTATTCCTGTGCTTGGACTCCGTTCTCTGTTCACGCTCGGCTTTCATCTGTTCAGCAGGAGTGTCGTCCGCATAGGCCTTCCCCTCATTTATCAGCTTCTCTGCATACTGGATAATCTTATCAAAGTGGTCAGAGGTGTATGTAAACTGGTCAGGCTTGATCTGCAGCATGGAAACATCTTCCAGGATAACCTGAGCAAAAAATAAATGATAGCTTCAACAGCTACACGAATCAAAATGCTGACCTAGGTAGAAACCACTTGTATCTTTATAAATTTTGACAAGAGTGTTAAAGCCAAGATCCAGACACAGCCGCCCCCCTCCCTTGGACGAGCGCTGTATTTAGGTACGTTGTCCTTGAAACTTTCCAAGATCCAGGACTTGGCTGACCAATTCTCCTCCAAGCAGAAAATAACTGTGATGACCTCCCTGAGACACATGTGAAAAAAAAAAGCTAGCACCTTGCCAATTTAATCTTCAATTCAATTCTTAAACAGTTGTAGTGTGTTATTCATGGATTCCGATTTCTGTCATTGCTGACGCTGCTTTTACACATGTGCATGCATGCAGTGTATGGGCTATGGCGTGCACTCTCATTTTTAATGGCACCCCATATATGCACAAAACAAATGTACTTGACTCTCGTTCAGCTTTTTGAAGTTGCTTTTTGGCATGACATGCTCAGGGCTCATTACAAAGAAATGTGCCTGTTCATCGCACGTTCATCTCCGAGCCTGACGAAGGGGACCCTGTGTGGCCATGAAAGCGCTTGCCAATGAGAGACAGCATCTGTCAATAAATGAGCACCTAATTGCTGTTATTATCGTTGTTGGAGTACTGGTGACGTCTTCCTTTTTGTCTACGTGTGGCGGCGCCATCTGCAGTCATTTCGAGCACCCGTTTTTTTGGGGGGGAATCCCGGTAAGGAGTGCGGCAAGTTTTCTTTTTTCTTGTTCATTGAAGCGGACGCACCAGAAAATGTGTGAAAAAAGTTTGCACTAATCTTAAAAAGGCCCTGGCAGCCTACCTCTACTGTACTCTCCACATCCTATCTACTGGTCTGCTTGTTATCCCAATGAAAGCGACACGAAACTCAGGAGTTATCTCTTAAAAATGCATTCACGTATCTTAACTATTAACAAAACTGCCCCTTATTTGGGTATCACTCGGCTGTAGATCCTCCAATCATCTCTCATGTTGACACTGTCCTTCCTTCTGGAGGGTGTCTACTTTTGTGCCCCATGGTTCCTGTGTGTGTTGTAATGTATCCACCGCTCCAAGCTCACTTCCATGATGGACTATAACTTGAAGGTTGTTTTAAAGCCGGCCAGAGCTTTATCAAGGGACTGGCGTGTGATTTCAATGTTAGATTTTTTATTTTTTTTTAAACTGCTGCTTTGTGTAGTCACCTTACAGCTTTAAACTAGACCTACTGTTATACTAGCTCTGACTTTTTAGCAAGACCTCTGGTTCAAGGAAGCAGTAAAGTTAGTTGCAGGCAGCCCAATAATCCTCCTTTTGAATCTGAACTGCACCTTCAATAGATTATCATGAAGGCAGTTTAACTTTAAAGGTAATAAAAATGGAGAACCTGTGAAGTAGAGAGGACCTAGCACTCCCAGTACTATAGAGAGGTTTGTTTGCCCTTTATTGCTCCTGCTTCAAGAAACCATTGCATCAGCTACTCATTTAAGGCTGATTTGGGAAGAATCTTCTATAATGCTGCAATAACGATGAGACGATGTCACTAACAGATCAGCTGAATGGAACAGAACGGGACCAACTCTCTTTTTTTGGATTACTTACCCTCAGCACCACTTTTAAGTACTTGACTATGTAGCCTTGCCCAGGGCAGAAACAGCCTTTGCAGTAAAAATAGCCCCAGTCAGCTCCTGGTGTACATATGTGCCGTTTACCCCAATTATTCCTATGGCTGGAGTTGTATTCTTCCGGATGGCTGAGGGGCCACCATGAGAATAGACAAGCCATAAGAATGAATGGAGAGGCTTATATGCGTAGTAGGAATTGAACATGGTTGTGGCTTTTTCTGTAAAGACTGAACAGCACCAGGCAGGGCTGCACAGTGAAGATCCCGGCAGTGGAGTTGAAGTTTGGAATTTACATAGGTGACTAATTCAAGTGGTTGGGGGTTAACATTTAGGGATAAACGTGACTAAATAGGTGATGTTACCTTTTCAAAGTCTTCCTTCTCTTTCTCTGGGTTGGTGTCATCAAATCTCATAATGAGTTTCCCCTTGAAGTTCACCTGATAGTGCTGGTTGAGAAGAGCAGCCTTGGCGTGTCCAATATGTAGATACCTGGAAAAAACCCCCAATGAGAAATCATACAGTACAAGACTGATTCCATACACTTATAGGGTTCATGTATATGGACATTTAGCAAGTCAAATGCAGTATGCCCTCGAGTGCTTCTGAGTTGTTTTGATTTGCATTTCTACTTCTCACAGTTGCATTGATTAGCTTTGTTTCTTATTAACTTGGTATGGAAAAGAAAAAGCAGCTCAAAAGCAAAAAAAAAAAAAAAGCTCATGTGCTCAATCCCTTTGAACCCAACCCCAGATAAAACTTTATAATGTGTTTAACCCCTTCGTGACTGACGACGTACAGTGTACGTCGCCAGCATCGGGGCTGTTTAAACAGACTCCCGGTGACTTTTGCCGCCGGGAATCTGTTTAAACGTGTAGAGCCGACTGTCGGCTTTACAACAGAAGCGATCCTGGCGACTTACCTGTTGCCAGATCGCTTCTGCGTCACGAAGAAGGGGCCAACCCCGGTTCCTGGGCTGTCAGTTCTGGGCTCCTGGAGCCCAGCTATAAGCTATTGAAGTGCGATCTGCACTTCAATAGCTTATTTCCAGTGTAAAGGTGACACTGGGGGTCTTTTGGACCCCCAGCATCACCTTAAAGAGTACCTGTCACCATCTTCTATCACATGGTGGGGCTTGTAAGCCCCCCCATGTGATAGCAGTCAAAGTAAAGTTAAAAAAAAGAGAAAAAGTTTTTGAAAATTAAATTTAAATAAAATAAATCTAATAATAATAAAAAAATTAAAAGTCCCCCGCGAACGTGTAAAAGGGTTAGAACCTGTTAGGAAATAAAGTGATGTAAATCTTTCCAATGAGGACACACACACACACTAGTAGAGCGAAGACGACATGCCAGTGTTTTTTTTTTTTTTTTTTACAGTCTATCTTCATGTTACATAAAAACCAGAAAGAAATTTAAAAGTTTTCCCACTCTATGCAAGATCGACTGACATTGGGCTTCAGATCTCATGCACATGGGCACAGTGGACCATACACTGTATAAACCTGCTGTATTCCTGCGTCTGGAAGTCACAGCTGTTGCCTACAGCTGCCTGTACAATTCAAATGACAAGGCGGGCTGTACGCTGGTAAATACTGGTCCATGTACATACAGGTACGGATGTACACCCCAGGATGCAGACTGTCAAGCGACATACATCCTAACCTGCACACATGAATATGACTCACATGAATATGACTGTATAAAAATAGCACTTATCACTTATAAAACATCAATATGCTGCCATCGTCTCTCATCTGAGAAACAGAGGTGCATTTCGAGCCATCACCCCAAGCTACTTCCTTGTTTTGCATACCCTCCAGGTTTACTTGTTAGTAGGTTCCATAGAACATCCTTCTCATTCTTGTAATATGCAGCCAAATTATTTTTCAAACCTTAGCGCTGTGTTGCCTATCTCCTATTTTCAGTGTTCACCCCCTTTCAAAGCAGCTCTGTAATC